GTAACTGTTCTTTGCACTGCACTTCTAATCAATGTGATCTATCAACCTACAAAGTTTCTTGTTGATATCTCTTATGGTTTCCTAGTTATGTCCTGGACAACTTCAAAATGTAAAATGAACAAAGGGCAATTACTACAAAATTTGGCAAGGCGGAGTTCAAATTCTTGTGCACTACACATCTACCCGTTGAGATCCATCTACCTACAATATTTCATGATGATATCTCTTGTAGTTTGAGAGTTATTTTCCGGACAAGATTTTTTTAAAAGGGGAGATAATTAAAAAATTGGGCAAAACAGAATTATGTTTTTTTTGCACTGCACTTCTACTCAATGAGATCTATCTACCTACAATGTTTCATCCTGATATCTCTTATAGTTTTAGAGTAATGTTCCAGGCAAAGTTCAAAGTGTTAAAATTAACAAAGGGCAATTACTCCAAAATTAGGAAAAAAGGAGTTATTGTTCTTATGCAATGCCCATCTACCCATTGAGATCTATTCACCTACAAAGTTTCATGTTGATATCACTTATAGTTTTAGAGTTATGTCCCGAACAAGATTTTTCTATAAGGGGTGATAATTCAAAAACCGGCCAAATAGAGTTATGGTTCTTTGACACTGCACTCCCCCTCAATGCCCTCTACCACTGTATGAAGTTTAAACAAATTATCTCTAAGGGTTTCAAGTTATGCTCCGGACAAGACAACGGACGGACAGACGGACGGACATACCAATTTTTTAGGTTTATGAGCTATTTCTATTGTTCTTTTCTTTTGTTTCCTTGTGGGCTAACTATTGTTTCCTTATGAGCTAACTATTATTTACGGAATGAAGTCCTTTGTTCTCTTATGTCCTAGTGTACCGTTAGTTAGCTCATATACCTAAAATGTTTGTGCGGACAGACGGACAAGGCGCCGACTATATGCTCCCCCGAAATTTTTTCGGGGAGCATAAAAAGTATGTGCATGCTTATATGTATCTACTTTGTCAAAATATATTGATGTGCCAAAGTTTGAGTCTGAGTTATTTTTCGTTCAGGAGCAGAATCTCGCTTTTGTTGCCCAGACATGAAAATAGCACAATATCTCATCACCCAGTACAATTAGTTGGACTATGATTCTACTGTACAGTTAAATCTTTGCCACTTTCCATCAACCTTACAGTAGATTCTAATTATCTACTTATCTATCAATTAACTGATAATCTAAGAAAATGGTGTAAAGTAAAAAAAACAACCAATATGTTTTCTAGTGGTTTAGGAGTTGAAAAGTGTTTATGGTAAATTTCTGCATTCAATAATGGCACCTTCATTCAAGAAACACTAATAAAACCCGTCAGTCAAGAGCACAACCTAGATATATGAAAGCTTTCTGAAATATTTATTTAACCATCAATTCATATTATTGTTGTTGTCTGAAAATTGAATATATGAATAAGAACTGCACTTTTACAGGTGTATGTAAATGTATGTATATAAAGCAAAGACATTTAAAGTTTCAAAATGTTTTAATAATATTATTTGAGAAATACAGATTTCTGTAAACAGCTTTTGTAGCTTTGCAATGTCTCAGTCTTAGAAAGATATCATATGAATTCATTGTTGTACTATAGTTTCCAGTACAAAAGAATTTTACAATGTTTATTGAATAAAATGTATAATATATTCATTATACAGTGGAAGCTTCATTCATAATAACTAAGGTAAAATGCACACATTCAAATAATATCTATTTAATTCATTTACAAATACATTGAATTCATAAAAACAGACACCTTGCTATTTTTTGCTAGAGCAGAACATAAATACAAAATATATTAAACTTACATCAACAATTCTATAAATTTTAATATTGTTTTCATAGTAATATTTGTCTATTTTTTATACCGATTTCACAAATTTAATAACTTGGTGGACCATCCACTTAAAAATTTCAATACATGTACTTACCACTTACTAACTACACAATTTCCCTGCAAGTGACCAGATACTCATTGCACATGCATTTTTAATTAGTTGTTAGAGAAAAATGACCATTTGACTTTAAATGTCCAAGATTAATTATCACAGAGACATTAGGCCACACCCGAGAATCCAGAGAACCAGGCAGTGACACCTGGATTGCCTATCCGATGCTTGGACCCCTTATAGAACTAAGCATGTGGATTAGTGTGACAAATTAGTATGAACAAATGTATACACATGAAAAATGCATATGTATGAACAAATGTATGTATGGAAATATATTGAACAAATGTACATTTCATATGTGAACAAATGTATATGTATGAACAATTGTATATGTATGAACAAATGTTTACATATGAACAAATGTATATGTATGAACAAATGTATATGTATGAACAAATGTTTACATATGAACAAATGTATATGTATGAACAATTGTATATGTATGAACAAATGTTTACATATGAACAAATGTATATGTATGAACAAATGTATATGTATGAACACAAATGTATATGTATGGATGTATAGGAACACATGTATATGTTTGAACAAGAACAAAATAAAAAATGTACATCTATGAACAAATGTATATGTATGAACAAAATGAACAAATGTACATCTTTGAACAAATTAATGTATATGTATGAACAAATTTATGTGTATAAACAAAAGAATATGCTCTGATATGTAAGGACAAATGTATATGTATGAACAAGTTTCGGAAAAAGTGTGAAGCTTCATCCATACAAATTTTGCATAAATGTTGAAACCAAAAAGCATCACAAAATAACATATGAGCCGCGCCATGACAAAACCAACATAATGGGTTTGCGACCAGCATGGATCCAGACCAGCGTGCGCATCCGTGCAGTCCGATCAGAATCCATGCTGTTCGCTTACAAACCCTATAACAAGTAGAAAAACTGATAGCGAACAGAATAGATCCTGATCAGACTGTGCGGATGCGCAGGCTGGTCTGGATCCATGCTGGTCGCAAACACACTATGTTGGTTTTGTCATGACGCGGCTCATATATTATCAAATAAATAATTGCAATAGCTAATTTTGATAAATTCTGACACAATTAATAGACAAACAGTCTATAATTGATAGGAAATGATGACAAACTGAACAAGTGGCAATAAGTGGCCATTACTAATATTTGCTAGCAATTCATTAACATATTTCAATTCACTTTCTTGACCTACTTTCTATGGTTATTATCAAAAATCTGGGGGTGGCCCCCGCCACAGCTAACTAGAAAAGTGATCAGTAAAAAAATAACACAAGTTTAATTGTATAAGTTGCATACAGTGATTTGAAGTAAAATGTGCTTGTTATCTCATAAACACATTAAATAGACTTACATGTATTTTTCTGGGGTTTTCTCGGCTAATCCAGGGGTACACGCTAACTTTTACAGTTACTGTGAGCTTCCAAAATAAGGGCAACTTGCTGACTTATCTATTGTGATCAGTAGTACAGCTATAACAGTAATGGTAATAGCTTGTTTGTATGTTTGTACCGGGGATCAGCTTGGAAAAAACCCACATTTGCAGAGTTATGGATATTATCTATTGAATAGGCTTGCAGTTATTGATGCAGTGATTTCATTTCTAAACAGTGACAGTTGTGGGTTTGAAACCTGATATTTATTTAGTTTAAATGATTTCATTCAAATAAAAAATTCTTTTAGGTTGTACTGGCAGCTTGAGGGGTGCAGGGGTACTTAGGTTACTGAACTGGCTATATGCGCTGTCCACCCACGATTGTGAGGAATGCTGCTAGCTTAAATCAGCTGTTCTAGGTTAAAGGTACACTAAGCTCATGACTTAAATGATCCTTAGTACAGCTGCAGAAAGTAATGATACTTACAACTCAATTTACATAAAAAAAGATACTGATTAAAATCAATATAGTGCTGGTATATACATACACAAGATATAATCAAATATACTTACTTGTATATTAAAATATTCACTATACTCCTGCTATTTGGTTCAGCTAATAAATAAATCAACTAGACTGACATTGCAACTGTAGGCAACCCTATAGCTCACCAACACTTCAGATACTATAGTATTTTTCTATGATCTGGAGTACTTTTTACAATATGGTATATATAGATGTACTATGACAATATGACATTTTAAAAGAATAAAATGTCAAATGCAAATATTGTACATGTACTTTCTCACATCAAAGAGGGACATAATAATAAAAGGATACACTTTATGATTAATTGATATCAAAGTCTAAGGTTGTTTATTTTAACATATATAATATATTCTGTAGTATTGATGAGCAGTACCCTGTAATACAATGTCAGATCTGAAAATTGTAGTTTTCTAGTTTATTTTAATTAAGTCTCTTGATGAGTTACTTTGACATATTAAAGACTTTTTCCCCCTGTCTTTTTTGAACAATTGAGAAGAGCTCAAAATTTGATGTTTTTATTGATCATATTCCTAATTCTGATAGACTTTGTACAAGATTTGGTAGACTAAACAACAGCTAGAAAAGTGCACCAAACAATTTATTGTCAAAGAATAATAAAATCTGGCTTTTTGACATGATGGGGAAAATATAATGCAGTGTTTCAGGTCCTTTCTCCATGATAATCATTTTCATAGTTCAAAAATCACCTAAAAATGAAAGAAAAAAACATTTTAATGCAAACCGATCTAATAAGAATTAAATTACATGAAATATTAACTTTTTCATCTTGAGCCCCATTTGATCTATGTAAGATTTTCAAATTTTAGGTTTTGTAACACTTTTGTATACTTGTTTATTATATATATTATTATTATAATATAGTTTATTTAACACATTACATGTAATTATAAATCATTAAAGTGGTAAAGATATGAAACTTTAAATAAAAAAAATATTTTTCTTTTTAAATTTTGCAAAAATCTCTGAAGATTAAAGTATAGGCTAGAGAAATATGATTTAACCAAAGTTTAATGACACTGCAAAAATAAACAGATGCCACATTCTCATAACACATTAGTACTTGTATTATTATATATTCACAAATTTTTACTTCTTGTTAACATTGTTTACTAATATATTTGTAAGGATGTATTAAATGATTCAGCACATATGGTATGTATTGAATGTTACAAAGTTATGTTCTCTTTTTCTTTTCTTTTTTTTGTGGGGAGGGGTCTTTTCTGTCTTGGTATGCAAGATTAAATGCCAGATGCATTTTTTGAAGGCAATTATGATAATCATTCTCTCATCACTGCCTACACAAATATAATAATTATTATTCTATAAATAAGAAGTGATAATTAAACTATAATTCTGATTGGTTTATTTTGAGGTCAGTCCTATGAAATTAACCAATGGTTAAATGTTTGTGATTCTGACTCAGGTCACCTTTATAATCAATCAACAATACAAATGTAGTTTGCATTTTTAAAATATCTTTGATCATAATTATTATGTTTATAATATTATTGTGTCTAAAGATTATTCTTCATATGTAGCTTCATATCAACGATAATGATATAAAAAAATATTTGTAAAAAATTAAAGTTTCACCATTTTATACATTGTACAACGAATGCGCATAACATATATATTTAAATGAATTTCATGAAATAAACATGCATAAAATACGAAAAGAATGTAATATTATCATCTTCTATGATAATGAGTGTGACAATTAAAACAAGAATAACGATGATGTATATGTATCACATTTCCGCTTTCGTATAAAGCAATATGCACTTAGATAAGTACTTAAAATATCTTGTTCCATTTTGACCTTGTTTAATTATTATATGGAAAAGAAAACTCTACACTGTACTTAAGTAACTGTTCATAAATAATTATGCTTCAAATTCAAAAGCCACTTGTCAGCTTCACCAGTATAGAGTTGGACTCCGGTCAATACATCTGTACAGTCTGACAAGATAGTCAAGACAGTCGATACAATGTATCAAAACCCCTACAATTAAAAACTGAAAGTTCTAAAATGATCACGAACTTCGGATGAGTCTACAAGTATAACATACAAGGGTTTAAAATTCATCCAAATCAAAATCATTCTGTAAGCTTTATTGGGTAGAGCATTAAACTGTGAACTGGACAACCGGAGTGGGTTCGATTTCCTGACAGTGTGAGTCTTTTTCCTTGAAAATGGTCAGGAAATCCTTTCACTGGTCATTCAAACTGTACATCAGCTCTGACATGCAGATGCCACAGAAGTAATTTCAGATCCTTGTGAAAGTGAAGGCACTTATTAAGTTCTCAGGTAAACTACTTCACAGCCTGCATAGGAAAATTGTAGTGACTGAACTAAGAAACAATGTGGTGGCTGATAATTCTGGTGAATTCAAATCATTTTACTGCCATTATCTGTAGGTTAAACTTCAAAAACCACTACAATGGATCCATGGCAGTCACTGAAATAATGTCACAATGATGCTTGTCATATGTCTTAATATGAATGGCTGGAAAACTGCCATTTGACTTTTAAAGTTTACTATTTTTAAAGTTTATGTACCAGTATGTCAATAAGACATTAAACTCAACAAATAAATGAAATTCCTTTGTATATGTGACTAAATATAAGTGAACATTTTTTTATTTATTTTTTTTGGGGGTGGGGGGTTCTTATGTGTCAGAATGACCTGTCTTCCATTAGGCACTGTGATGATCAAAAGTTTGAACTTGAAACTACATTCAATTTGTATTATGAAAAAAAAACAACAAAAAAACATTTACTTGAGTCAGTAAAAAGGATTTTAAAGGGAGATAAATTTAACATTTCTATATGAAGATTCAGGTGCTTCTTCACTTCCTTCCACTATTTTTGATCTAAATAACCATCATAGACTTTAATTTACATGTAACTAAAGTCTGTGATCATCATGCTTAAGTTGTATTGACCATTGTTTATCATGTTTGAATCCCTTGCTCTAAGAACTCTACAAGATCTGGCATGTTGATTTGGTTGGCATAATGAAGACTTTGTGATCAATGGTTTTCAAGATAATGAGCAGAAACCATTCTGACATTTAAGGCCCGTGACCTTGACCTTTGACCAAGTGATCCCAATATCAATAGGGGACATCTACTAGTTATGACCAATAAATATGTGAAATATGAAGACTTTGTGATAAATTAAGTTTTCAAGACAATGAGCTGAAACCATTCTGACACTTAAGGCCCCTTCGACATTGACCTTTGAAATTGTGACCCCTACTGCATATGACTAAACAATATGTGAAATTGTAAAGACTTTGGGATGAATAGTTTTCAAGATAATGAGCAGAAACCATGTAATCTACAGATGGACAGACCAACAGACATAAGCAAAACAATATAGCCCTCTTCTTAAAAATAAATTATAAATGTACCTGCCCTTTGGAAATGCATTTCAATTTGAAAACAGAACATATATTACAAGTTAAAATTGAGTAACTTTCTAACTGTATTGTTTGAGAAATTAAGCTAAAAACTGGCCCTTAATTGTAACATGAACATCAACAAGAAATTACCGCAGACATTTACATCTCTTTTATAGCTTATAAAAAGTTGCTTCTCTAAATGGTAAATGTTTATGCCCAACATGCATATAAAAACAAGACTCATTTACACAAGTTAATCAATGAAATAATCCAAAAATGCATGATTTTGTCATTAACTGGGATAACATATTTCAGAGCTGCAAAGTTGTATATCTTAAAGTTTCTGCAAAAATTAACTTCACAAACACTGCATGAAGTAGCCGACTACTAGCTTAAAGAATGGCAAAAACTTTCACAAAAATGATATCTTACACAATATATTTGTTGATTTTCTCTCAGAAGATAGAATTACCATAAGTCACCATGGCGATGTAAAGGAGAATGTACTGTAATTTAAACAAGTGTTTGGTAATTATATCATATGATGCACTTGTGTCTTCAAAGTTAACATATTGAGTTAATGCACTTGTTTATTTGGAAGTCTAGTTTTTTTCCGAAGACTGGAATGTTATAAAGTCAACAAACTGTCAAATGGTGAATGAACCTAATAACTTTTTATGTCCTAAAGAAAAATTCAGTGACCTTGAGTTTATAATCTAAATATATGTTGGATGGATATAGATTTTTGACAGGTTATAATTATAGATCTAGTCCTATATAAATGGTCGTTTGAAATTATAACCTGAGCTGCTAGACAAGGGTTATATTTCAAACAATCATTATATACGGCCATATAACTGATCAGAAATATTTATAACAAATCTATAATACAGCAAGCATCTTTTTTTAGAGAGAAAGGTGACCTTCATAAATTGACAGCAGCTGTGTATATGTCAATCTATATAAATGTCATGATTATCCATTGAAAAGTGAAGTTACAAACATGCAGTATGTATTATAAACATGTAAATAATTATTGCTTCAAATTACAACAGTCTAATAATTAAACATCTTTAAAGCTGCACAACTCCAGATTTGAGTTAAATTTTAAGATTTTAAGTAAAAGAAATGTTAAGAGCATGACTTTTATCAAGACTGCAGTTTTAGTGATTTTACAAAGATATTACTGACAACTTGTCAAAGTATGCAGTAATTTTACTTGTTTAATAAGTAAATTAGGGGTAGAGACCTAGTTTTTCACAACACTCTGCACATCATCACAGAATAGAATGGTGATCATTAAATTTTGTACCAATTTATTTTATGAACATTATAGTTGTTAATTAGAAATGTGTCCATAAGACACGGGTGCCCCCCACACTCTACTGTTTTGTCAATCTTATGACTCCAGGGCTAATATCTTTTATGCTACACATGCATAAGTTGAAAACTAAAAATCTTTTACTAAGTAAAGGGCAAGAACTTCACAAATACTGAATAAATCCACAAGCAAACCCCAAGGTGCATGTAAGTACACATGCAGACCAACATTCTTGTAATCTTTCAGGCCTACAGGTCAAATACATTTTGAGCTATGCATGAACAAGTTGAAAATTACAAATTTTTTACTAAGTAAAGGGCAAGCACTCTAACAAAACTGAAAAATTCCACATGCAAAACCCCAGCCTCATGGTGATGTTGATCATTATTCCTGTAAAGTTGGTTGATTCTAACTTGACCACTCAAGAAACATGTAACACAACATAATGGAACGGTTTTTACTAAGTCAAGGGCAATAACTCTAGAAATACTTGATAAATGCACAATTGAAACCCCAGGTGCACAATTACACATGCTAACCAACATTTCTTTTAAGTTTCATGGCTCTATGTTAAATAAATCCTGACAGGGACTTTGGATTCTTTCATGTGAGGAAGCTATCCTGTGAGCTAGCTTATGGAACATCGTGGTTCTACTCAGGTTCCCGTTCGTGCCTGAAATAATGTACTGAAGGGCACCTCAGGTCATCCTCCACCAGTAAAGCTGGAAGTCGCCATATGACCTTTAATGTGTCAGTGTGACGTAAAACCCAATTGAACAAAAAAACCAAATCTAGGTTAAATACTTTTTGAGCCATGCACCACACAAATTGCAAATTTTACTAAGTCAAGAGCAATAACTCTGACAAAAACAGAATAGCAAAACCCCAGGAGCACAAGTTCACATGCTGAGCAACATTACTGAAAAGTTTCATGACTTAAGGTCAAATATTTTTTGAGCTATGTGTGACACAAGTTGAAAATTCCAAATTTTCACTTAGTCAAGGGCAATAACTCTAAAAAAATACTGAAAAATTCACAGGCAAATACCCAGGTGCACAACTACATGTACATGCTGAGCAACATTCCTGTAAAGTTTCAGGACTGTAGGTCAAATACCTTTTGAGCTATGTGCGACACAAAATGAGAACTGACGGATGGACAGGGGTAAATCTAAAACCCCCCTTTATAGGGGGCACAACAAGTTACGGAGCAGACAAGAAATGTTGACATTTCACACTTGAACTTTAAGGGTGACATTGACCTTTGGGGTAGTGACTGAGTTGTTGCACATCTGTACATTGTCTCATAATGGTGATCATTTATTCTAAGTTATTTAAAAACTTTTCATTAGTTTTTAAAAGTTATGGAGCAGACACAAAAATGTTACAGACAGACAGATGGAGGCCATTGCTATAAACCCTCCCCACTACACAGCAGGGGATTAACAAAATATATCACGTAAGGCAATGCATGTTCTAGAACCTGCAGGTATGCCAAAGTGTAAAAATCTTTAGCCCTTGACACAAGTAACCCCTCACTCATTATTATCATGCATAAATCAATTGTAATCCAAGCAATATTTTGGGAGTTACACGACTTACCGGAATCATATTTTTGTAACAAAAGAAAATCCACTAAATTGTGCAGATGGATGTTTTAGCTCAATGTCTTATTAACCTCACTGCCTTTAGTTGGTGTGGGGTATAAAGATGGGTATGGTATACAATTGACTGGTGCATACATATAAAACTGTTTAACATAGCAAGTCGTCTGTGGTCAAGTAGTTAAGGTAGTTGACTTTAAACCACTTGCCCCTCACAACTGTAGGTTTATATTCAGCAAGAGACTTTAGATTCATGTGCAAAAGCTATCCAGCTAGCTGAGCTTATGGAAATTGGGTGGTTCTACTCAGTTTGGTGCCCATTTATACCTGAAATGATGTACAGATTGGCACCCAAGGTCTTCCTCCACAAGTAAAACAGGAAAGCTGACATATGATATGATATGACCTCTACTCTGTTGGTTCAATGTAAAAACCCAACAAAACAAGGAGATGTAAGGCTGGCTGCTGAACTTCCAAAGCTCATAATTGAAAAATATTCTAATGACTTTAATTGAATAATATACATGACATTCCATTCCTGACATAACATGAATTCAGGCAGCACATTGAGAAACAAAGTTTGAGACCTACTTTTCAATGGATAGTTAAAGAAATTATGCAACATACTCATATATGAAAAAGAAAACCTGTTGTGTTTTTCTACATATTTATTTCTGTTTAGTCTTTACAGCATCATTGGATTGTTTAGAAGTAGATGGCGCTGTGACAACGTTGAATGTTTTCCCCTCGACTGACTTCACTTTTTGTGTTATCTCCTGTTCTATGTTTGCCTTTATTGCTTTATCCAAACCCTGTAATACAGAATTTCATTATCAAAATAATCTCCGAATACTAGTTAAGATAAAGATTTGCCTGTGCCACCAGTATAAAACCAAGCTAGTATTTGATTCTGATGTGTTTAGCAAAATTCCATGTTTTTGTTGTTTTTTTTTCAATCTTAATACTTTTTTTTTATAAAACAGAAAGCAGAGATAATACATGTCAAACATCAGTATGGTTTGTAAACTGATTTATTCAAAGATAAACCCATGTCAGTCTTCTACGACTTTCATCATAATTTTTATTAGTGTCCCTTTTGCTAATACATTGTAAATTAAGCAAAGCAAATATTTTATTACAAAGTCAGGAAGTTCTTTATTCATGTGTCCAAAAAAAAGTGATTACTACTATAGATGCGAAGTTTTAATTAATCAGATTTTCTCACTAAGAATTTTTTATCAAAGATGAACACTGAATTCATATTATTTGATTATAAACAATCATGTTATGAACTTTATGTAGATCATTGTGATGGTTCATTTCAGCTTCGCATGTATTGATGATTCAAAATGGACCCTGCTAATTGTACAATACTTATTGATTTTTTGTTCTACATGTATCATTCTACAAATTCAATTTAAAATAGTAATAGCATATTTCCCCATTACTTTTCAAGTCATTTGTGCGAAATTTCATGCCAGCAGAATTAATGATTTCACAATAACATCAAAATAATTTGTTCTATAACATTTTCATGTTTATTATTCGCGTGTTTTAATTAACAGAGACATTGTATATTGCAATTTTTTGGAAAATTAACCATCAAATTATGGAAAGAAAAAAATTTTACTATTAATAAATTTTATAGAAATATTTCATCTGATATAGCTTTAAAATCTTTAATATCTAACTATTTAATCTTTAATAAAACTAAATGAGATTTTTTAATAAGATAAAGAATCAATCAAAAGGCTGTACCTTTTTAAGTTTTGCTTGTTCCATTACTTTTGCTTTCTTTGGTGCTATATATCTTGCTAAAAAAATGAAAGAAAACAAACATTTCAAAACATTTATTGATTATTCACATACCCTAAAATTGTAGCAATTAACTATGTGTACTGAGGGTAATATAATGATTCAAATGACCATTCGCCCACCTTAAATCAAACATCTTTTATTTGGGTTGAAAAATATTTATGGTTCAGGTTCTTGCATTTATTTTCGTATACTTTTTATAGATAACAATTGATTTAGAATAAGAAAAATATACGTTTAAAAGAACTAACAATTACAGTACTAATCCCATTTGTATATTGTTTATCTAACTTTCTCATTTATAAGTTATCAACACAAATTCATTCTTTACTTAACCTTTTCCCTTATATAAGCGTGTTTCGACGGCTTTTTGCCCCCCCCCCTTTTTTGAGGCCTCAAACAGTGAAAAAATGTCCTATTTAGACCCCAAACACTGTTTTTCGTTTGAGAAATGTTGTTAAAAAAAGTGACCATTTTTTCGGCGCCGTCCCCCATCCAAATAATACATCAGGGGGTTGCCAGAAGGGGGATGTGCCCCCTTCTGTTTGGGGGGTTTGAAGGGGGGCGGAGTCCCCCTCATCGCCAAGAAAATTTTGGACTTGTGAGAGGCTTAAAATGACCTCAGGTTGATCATAAGGTAACGTGTAACCAACGCTGAAAAGCCTTTGACTCTATCTCAATCCCTTGAGAAGTTGCAGCACTTTGAAATAAATTTTGATGGAAAAAATCGAGGCAAAAAAGTGATTTTTGGCAATTTTGAGATGTCCCCTCGTTGCCATGGTAACAGGAAATTTAAGACTGAGCATGTCGTTACAAAGGCAATGGTCCAGTCAACATTTGTGCCAATTTTGATTAGTATTGAAGCATTTTTCATATTTTCATAGCAGTTTGAACTTGTAAGAGGAGGCTTTTCAGTGAAAATGGCTATTTTTCACAATATGCTCATGGGGGAAAGGGTTAAAGCAGATTGTCATACATTGTTGATTTTAGTAATTCTGTGTGGTAAAGGGTCAACTCGGCCCTATACCAACTTGGCACGGGTCAACTCGGCACAGGTCAACTCGGCCCTCTATTAAAAACTTATATTAGGATATATATTGTTTAGTTAATAAGAAATTTAAGGAGTAAATTACTATAAAAGTATTCAGAAGTACGCCATCACTTACAAACAAAAATTGAAAAGGCTGACACTGTGTTCATGTAGGTATTATTTAAAATTATCTTTTGTTAAGAAGAGATATCAGTATATGTTAAATACTGATCCATAAATAAAGCTTTTGGATTGAATTTTTATGACAATAAATGTTATTGTATTTAACAATGTTTCTTTTTAAATAAGACCAATGCTGTTTTAACAATATTTTTTTACTAAAAACATCTGAAGTAGACAAATCATGCATATAAATTGTAAATTTATCCTTTCAGTACAAATTGGTAATTTCATCAATTAAACTTTTCAATATCCTTGAGTCTGTTACTGTGAAAATGTTAAACAATGAAAGTTATGATGAAAACATATAAAAAGTAATAAAAGTAATATATAATTATGGGCCGAGTTGACCCGTACCGAGTTGGAATAGGGCCGATCTGACTCGGGGGCCGAGTATGTTTTATGGCTGAGCTGACCCTGATTCATTCTGTGAAGGCCCCCCTATGCCAAAGTATTTTATTGCTTTCTAAAATTATGTAAGTACCAGTTTGAATATTGAAACCACCACCAGTACAGTAATTAAATAATATCAATATACATGTATAAAATATATTTATTAATTTTTTTGTAAATATATTTATCAATGAAATGCAGAAAATGTGCATAAAATTAAATATTCTTTTAAATTATTTCTTTATCAATTTATTGAACAGTAGCCATTAAACAAACTTAGGTAATTGTGGTGTTAACAGTAATCTCATCACCTAATTAGTTGTATAAACACTGAGACATTCAATTAACAGTTTGACATCACTATTAAATTAGTTGTATAAACATTGCACTTTAGCATCAACAGTTATTAATTAGTTGTTTATTGGACCATTGAAATATTTTTAGACAATGTTCAGCCAATTAAAACCAAAATCATGGAAACAGAAACTCCTCCATAAGTTTTGGTTATAAATTATAACGAAAAATAAAATATTTTTAATCAGATAATCATATTTAATATATTATGTAAGATTATCTATAGTGTTTGAAATTAGCAGTAGTCCGATAGCCCCTGACTACTAAATTTCTCCTCGGGCTACCAACTTTTTACAGTAACAAACTGTAATTTCAGAGGCAATATAAACAACTGTTTTGAACAAATGAATCGTGCTAGTGAAATGGCTTTTGGGCTAGTGAATATTCCAATCTGGTAGTCCGACCAGCCTAGTTGATTCAAATCCTAATTTCTTACACTGTATCTACAGAAATTTTTTTAATTATTAATATAAAAATATACTTAATGCAAAGAAAATCACTTTATTATCATTAACATCTTTAGAGAACTGCAACTTTCATACAATTATATCCGGTCATATATGATATCCTTCCCTAAATAAGAATAAATATCTGAAAAGATATCAGATCAAAGATCTCTCTAATCAAGTAAAAAATAAAAAAAATAAAACTTTAACAATTATGACATACAAACTTTAATTTTTTAGTAAAATTTAGTAAAATTAAGGTCTATTGTAGTATATCATAAGTATCAAAATAATTTTGGAATAAAATGGGAGTGAAATGTCTTCAAGACGTTTCACTCCCATTTGGGAGTGAAACATCTTGGTGTGAACCGTCTCAATAGTGAAACGTCTGTCTACCCAAAACATCGCTGATCTGGCCGGTTAATCGTTATCAGTTTTAATATTGATTACCCAAAAGTTAAAATGGTCAATACCTATTCTTAAATATAAAGAACTTAATCCCATAAATATAACAAAACCAACATTTTATCTTATCTTAGTTATAACTAATATACATACTATATACATTATAATGAAAATAATTTGTGTAATAGTTTCATATTATTGTTGTATGGAAATTGACTTTAAATGATATTTTGGGGGAAGGAGGGGGGGGGGAGGGTTGAGGTTAGCGGTACTTTCAGACAAAGCGCCTTATCCCTGTGAGTATTATATATTCAGAATGTTGTTTGTTTAAAAATAAAAGGTCGCGAAAACAGATTGCATTTAGATTAAACTGCGCATTAAAATGTCTTTTCAAATGTATTTGCAACTAATAAACAAACCTCCTTTCTTCATTTGTTGTTTCTTTGGTCTATTTTTCTCCTTTCTTAAGTTGAAACCTTTTGATTTCAGCTTATTTGCTCCTTGTGCCATGATTTTCGTCCGAGTTGTTTACTTTTTTTACTTCCGGTTCGGAGTACTCTTCACAAAGGAGATTAGTGTCAAAATTACCAAATTTAGAATTGATTTTTTGCCAGCGTTTTTCAAAGGACATTCAAAAATGAAACATGTCAGTTTTTAACTTTTGGTAAGTCGGAATAAATTGTTACTTTCCTGTTCATTGATCATTATTCCTAATCACCTAAACAAACAGCAACAAAAACTTTCGGATTTTAGTCAGACTGACATCTGTTAAGCTGTAAGATCGTAATCACAAGTTGTATACAGTTTTGAAGATCCTGATTACGTATTATGTTATCTCTTTGTGTTTAACTAAGTCAAAAATTGTGACCACTTATGACAGTCCAAAATATAAGAGGTATCATCTTTTTATGATATTTACATTAGACAAATTATATCTTGGGAGAAAAGAAATACACTGCAACCCCGTTAACATGATCATGTTATGGTCCAAGGTCTCAGAACACCCTGTTATAACCAGGTATTGATATATAACCCTCATATTAATAATTAGTGAAATTACCCCATTACCACCACTGATATATACATATATTAACACAAATGATTTTTTACTTACTGTTAAACGGCCCGTACTGCTAGCCAAAATTTCTAGCCGTACGTGAGTCATTTTCGTTTAGCCTATACGCACTGTTTAGGCTAGCTGAATGCAATGATGAAGTCATTAACTTGCATGTCTTAAAATTACTTGTTCACACAGAATGGTAATATATATTGTTTCTAAATAATTTCATGGATGATATTCAGCCATTTATATTATGACAAGATATCAGATAGGTCTGTCTGAAATAAATTTAACTTTTAGTATTTTTCATAAGCAGATGTAAATTATGTATTATTTACAAGTTATAATTGTTAAAAAGATTTTATTAATAATCTAACTAACCACTGGAAATAGACCCACAATTTTAATTAATGTCAAGTAAATTAAAGTCTGTGACTGACCCAAAAGTGTGCTTATGTAATCCTGTAAAACAGATGTGCTGCATCATTAAAAGAAATTTTCAATGCCCACTAAAAGTGATCAACATAAGAATTTTATAACAACTGTATTACATCTTGAAATGATTAAATAATGTTTCAGTTTATTTGTCTTTGTATCTTCACACAGATTATTAACCATGGATTTTAATTGACTATGTGTTGATTTCAATTAAAATCCGTGTATAAACAGAGGAAAAAACTTCTGATCATCAAATGCCAAAAATTAATTCATCTACTGTAACTGATAAAGTTTTCATGATATTCAATAAAATCTTCGTTTAGAAACACAAGTTTGCTTTTTTATTATTATTTTAGGTTATTTATTTTAAAAATGACTGTCTAAACTTAAATGAATATCAACATTTTTTTTCTAAAACAATTTAATAATGTAAACATATATTATTTTGTCAAATATAACAAATTATATTTGAAAGAAACAGAAAACTGTTGAGTTGAAGGAAAAACATGAAGCAGTGTCAAATGTAAACACAGTTGCCATTACAGTTCTAGCTTTAGTTGTGCCCCTAAGTGAATCAAACACCATTTATCTCCTTTCTTGGTACTTTTTCTGCCATTTGATAGAAAATGTATGTTTTTTTTAATTGATTTAAGCTTCTGTGGTTTATACATGTATGTGGTTATAAATATACATGAAAAAAGAAATGAATTTGGCAAAATATATGATATTATTTTGGGAGCATTATACTGAAATAAGCATTATAATAGGTCGGCAGTGTACACTGTAATATTGGATATTTCCTGGGTTACTGATTTTGAGGGGGGCTTCTAAAAGCTGACCAGCTTGCAGCATGAACTAAATGTAAATGTAATGTTAGACGTAAACCAATAATGAAAGGCCCAAAGCAAAATAAAAGTCACAAAGATTAATATCTTGCCTTTAAAGCTTGAATTACACAGATTTACTCTCTCTTTTTTCAATTGCATGGGCAACCACCACTTAAGAAAATCTCGAACAACATATTAATTAATTTTAATAAAATTATACTATTGCCAATCTTTCTCCACCATGTCTTAGACATAATGATGAGAGATTTACATTTTCAAAGTTCCAGATTTTTTAAATGAAATATATATTATTTGTACAAGCTGGCAGTGTTTTAATTAGCAATCTTTCTGTAAAAAATATTTCATCTTTTATGGTTACCAATTTAACTTGATTATTTTGCAAAATGACCCAAAAATGAAGAGTTGCAATTCTTTGCACTCAAATCAGATTAAGAATGACAGGCAAATTTTATTTTCAATTCTTAGCATATTTTCTTCATTATTCTTAGCAGATTTTTCAATTTTAAGTGTTCACATAATCCATGTAAATATAAAAAAAATTATTGAGTTTTTTTGTTGTTTGTTATTGGGTCCTGATTCTGAACAATACTGATTGGTGGATATTCTGCTGTGTTATGTTAAAATATTTCCTAGTATGCATATTTCACATGCATTATGGTCACATTAAGTGTTTTCTTTGCATGCACTGGAAAGCACATGGAAAATTTTAATGAGGACAAAATAAAATTAAGAGCAAAATGACATCAATTTATTATTTTATTAACAATTTCTGGAATAAAGATTACACAATAACATTAATACTTCTCTATGGAAAAATAAATTGAAATCAATTGAAGTTTGCTTTATCAATAGAGCAGGTTTAAGTTTGGTGAAATTACCTGAAAATTATGCTGATTTTATGTATATAGGTGAATGGTGCATGGCCAACAAGTAAAGTAATAGTGCAATTATTTGTGATAATGAGCATGGGTCTGTAACTGTGTACATAGGGAATGATATATACTTGATATTGACTACATTGATTAGAAGCTAAGGATAGAGCAAAATTATTCCTGAAACATTATTATAAATATAAAAAATGTTTTTCTATTCCTTTACAGATGAGGTTACTATTATTCTGAAGATGGCAGAAGCTGACATAAATGAAGCTGATGTGAATAGTGACGAAGGTGAAGAGGAGAGTCTTACAAATGGTTTAGATGATGAAAATGTTGATATAGTTCATACAGACAGTTTTGATTCTTCGATTGTTCCTCAAAGGTCAATGTCAGATGTGCAGTTAACTTCACGAGATATACGTCATGTTTTATTAGGAAATTCAATGTCATTTGAAAATTTGGATGATGATAATGATGATGAGCCACCTTTGTCAGGAAAACGTGTGTCAGAAAGTTCTCGAGTCTATTTTGATTTGTCAAATATTGACTCAGAAACAGAAGGTATTACCCAGGCGTCAAGTGCAATGAAAGATGTCCGATACAAATTACGAAGAAATCAAGCATTACAACCAATACCTCAAAATGAACTCTTAGTGACAAAGCAGACGTCAAAATATTCATACAGTTCGATGAGTACAAGGTCATTTTCATCGGACGCTCTTGAGGATATTAATGAACATGGCGACTTTATCGAACCGGAATTATCACCGGAATTTATAGATACATTGCATAATGAGCAAATGGGTAGTTTTTATAGTAAATATCCTTTGCTTGTAAGCCAAAGTCCAGGAGCGTCTGAAAACCATGCATCCTGGCAGAATAAAAATAACCTCAAATTGAAATATCAGCAGTTTTGTTTTTCACTTGAGAAAGACATATCTGATCTTAAAAGAGCAACTGGAACTGATGAAATCAAACCGCTTAAGAACATTTTGGAATCCATGACCGATGCATGGAATTTTCCAGTCTATGGAAGGGATTTGGCTTGCGGCCTTTGTGATATAATAAGAAATGAAAGTGTTCTTAGCCTGCTGGTGAAAAATTGTGACAATGAAAGTCACGATATTCTCCAAGCATCTGCTGCCTTGTTAGAACAAGTTATGTCCCTGAAAAATCGTGAGAAAGTCACCAAAGAAGGGTTAGAAAAAGTTGTCAGAATGAGTCAGAGATCAATTGGAGATCAAAGATTAGCTTTAAGTACTGTAGGAATTTTGGAAAATTTGTTTAAAGTTAGCACAGACATCTCAACCAAGGTGATTGACTATGGTGGTCTTGATTCAATCTTATACTGGTGCCGTAGTAATGACTCAAAAGTGTTAAGAAAGTGTGCAAAAGCGTTGTCAAATTTGTCACTTTTCGGTGGACCGGAAAACCAGGAACTGATGACTCAGCAGAAAGTTCCGGAATGGTTGTTTCCACTAGCATTTTCAGAAGACAAACATGTGAAATATTATGCATGTTTGTCTATCGCAGTTCTTGTTGCTAATAAGGAACTAGAGGCTCAAGTTATAAAATCAGGGACTCTTGAACTTGTGATCCCATTTGTATCTGCTGAAAAGCCGGAGGATTTCGCCAAAAGTGATTATGCTCATAGGCAGGGAAGAGATTCTGTTTGGCTGGAAAAGTTGAAACCTTTGTTATGTAGCAGACGGCCAGAAGCCCAAGCGTTAGCTGCTTTCCATTTTGCTATGGAAGCTGCTATAAAGTCAGAACAAGGCAAAAATGAGGTAGGAAGATATTTGGTAAAGCTTTCATACCTTAATACAATATCACAATTTGAATTGACTGTTGCAGTTAATTAGATATAAGTCAACATTAAAATTATATCATTGTTCATGCTGTATTTTAATCATTAGGCGTATAGTTATTATATTTTGCATTTGGAAGTCCACATTCATTTCATAAGTTATAGTTCATTGTAAGGTATATTGATAGTTTTGTATTAAATGAATGTACATGTATACAAATAAACATCATGGTTATATACAATATATTAGAATAAGTATCAAATTATTGTCATTTTGAATGATTTTTAGATATTTTATGAAATTGGTGTGATAGAACCACTCAGGAAAGTAGCAAGCAGTCCGAACGCTGTGGCATCGCGTCTCGCTAGAGAAGCCTTACAAGCTATAGGGGAGGAAACTCCGCATAAACTTTCACAACAAGTTCCCTTGTGGACGACAGAAGATGTGTCTCACTGGGTGTCAGAGGTAGGTGGTACTAATGTTTGTTTGATTGTTTGGTTGGTTTTAAAGTAACACAGATATTGTAAAGGTCCAATAGTGACTTTCAAGGAAATCTCCGGTGCACTTTTGTGCATTATTTCAGGCATGACCGGGCATCTGTGTAGAACCACCAACATTTTGTAACCTAGGTGGACAACTCCTTCACATGAAATAATACATAAGGCCTTTTATTTATTGAATGTTGTTGTAACGTTTCTCTTTTATTCTCATGATATTTACAACTGAGAGTGTGTAAGTCTAGGCACTGAGAGTACAAACCCTGGACATATCACCATTCATCTACTTAAAGGTTATCATATGCAAAAAAAGTGACCTACAAATTTTTAATCAGTAATTCACTGAATGATACTAAATATATTATGTAAGTCGAATTTTGTGATGTTTTCTATTTTGATGCTTGGGAGGCCAATGGGACCATTGAATCAGTTGCTGCTATTTGTATAAGGTTTATATGCTGCAGACCTTTCCATCTAATGATCTTATGTTTTGGCTTTGTCTTTTAGTACACTGTTCTCAGTTGAATAAATCACAAGTACATGATTGTAGACGTCAATTTCTGTAAATTTAAATAAAGCTTGTTTTGAATGCATGCATTCTGATTCAAAGTAAAAAAATGAAAATTACAAAAGAAGTATTTCCTATCTACTTATCATTATTTTGGTTGAGTTGAGAAGGGGGAAACATAATTATTTTTATTTTCGGTCATCACAGAAGTAATTGTCAGACTAGGGCAGTATAATCGATAATAATTGTCATACAAATGGTTATTATTTCCTTCCATACTTGTGAAGATCTGTTAAATGTTTGTAATCTATATTACATAGTTATGAAGATAATATGCTAGCATAATGTAACTGTGATATAATATAATAATAATGATGTATAGTATTTATGTATTACCTATAACATCATATGTTTAATTACAGCTTGATGGAAAACAGAAATGCTTTATGATATATTTATCAATTTATAAAAGCAAATTATAAACATGCTGCCATCAATTTTACCTGGACACACAATGCATGTTTGATTACAGTTATCTCTTACAGTAGTTTTTTTTAAGCTGCACATTTTGGAGAAAAAGTAAAACTACTGACATGACACACTTGGTGCAGTCAGGTTAGCCATTTGTTTAGTTACTAACAAAGCTACTTGATGAGTTGTACCAGTTAAGGTCAATGTTTAAAGTTACTATAGAATAAATATCTGTAATAGGTGACATGTTAAGGTCCATTTTCTCAGAAACTAACAAAACTATTTTGATCATTTGTTTAAAGGAGTTTGCATACAGTGATACCTGTCTATTGCAGATTGTTTTTTGTTGTTGTTTTTTTTTGTTGGGAAATTGAATACCTGTAGATTGGTTTTAAGGAGTATGCACGCCTGTTTTGTAACTGCAGATTGGGCAGACCTGTTTTATACAGATTGGTTGCAGATTGGTTTGAGTAGTATGCACACCTGTTTATTGCAGATTATTTTTGGAAAACTGAATCATGTATCTGTTTATTGCAGATTGGTTTTAAGGAGTATGCAAGTCAGTTTGAAGATTGTAAGATAGATGGAGACTTGCTGTTACAGATGGATGAAGATGACATGGTGGAGAGTATTCAGATGAACCCAGGAATGATCAGGAGAAGGTTTGATACACCAAATGTTTCACTGCTACATCAATATTCCTAATTTGCTATGAATCTTATGTTGAACTTGCTTAAATTTTATTTTGTGATGCAATGGTTTGATATTTGTGTTTAAGACAGCCAAAGGGTGGCTTTCTGAATATTCTAGAATAAATTTTAAGTTGACTTCAGACAGCCCTGTGCTAAATTATGCATGCATACAAGAAATGGCATATTTACCAATTTCATCAATATTTGCAAAACTGCAATTTTTAATAGTCTATAACAAAAAAATACAAACTTATAAATCTTAATTTATTATTTAAAATAAAGACTTCCTGTGAAAGGTTAAGTCATTGTTTAAGGTGACAACGGAGTCAATTATCACTGAAAATACCTAAAATGAGATTTTTTGCTTAGTAGATTTATCCATCTTTTCTGAACACATTCGTGATTTAATTTTGGAAGCAGTTAGTCCAAAAAACGTGTTTTTAAACGTTTTAAAATGGTACCTGTACCATTTTTTTATCTGCTATTCGCGTAACCTGTCAATTATCGATAACGCTCCGCCCCCTGTTGAGGCATCTATGAGGGAAATCGGTAGTTCCATATATGCGTGAATTACCAGTCAATACTGGTCCATACTACTCGTAATTCATGTATTGTACAAATACCGAATATCGTCTACCTTTTCTTTAGCCTTTTTTATAAAATAAGAAATTGTCGGCAAATGTACGTAACATAATGTATGAAACATAAATAATTAAGCATAGCGGCAAATTGCACGACCACGGGGTTGATTAAAAATATAGTTGCTAAAATATCCATAATGTGTGAAAATAATTTGTCTGTCCCGTTAATCTGATAGATATTACATTGAGTTTATGGACTTTGTACGGATTCAAGGGCTTGCTTTACATTCAACCTCTTTTTCTAACAATGTCAAGTAAAACAACAACAAAAACAGAAAACATTTTTTATGTGAACGCCTATATGACTTGTGGTAAGGTGTCCCTGACAAATTTCTAAACCATTTTAGGTTGTCTAAGGATGATTATGTCTCTATGAATCAATAAAAAAAGATAATAAAATATATTATCAGTGATGTTTTGAATAAATTGTTCGCCAGTAAATCGAACACAGTGCTAATAAACCTGGGAAAAAGTATGGAATTTATTGTATATCCCAGTAGAAACTGGATCTCTATGCCGTGCTTAGATGCATAGATGATATTCATGATAATAGAAGTAAAGAAGGTCAGATCATAATTATCGAGTGATACCTTTTATTTCTATTAAAATATGTTAAGCATTTATATCAATTTGGAGGAAAAAATATATAATATGCTGTTCTTATTTGTACATCTACCATGGACTTTAAAAGACCGTCAGAAGCTCAGTTTTTTTGTTATTTTAATTTATATTTTAACGGAATTGCATAAACGAATACACAGAGTGACACTGGTATAATATAATAATAATGCTGATGATAACAATAATAAACTTCAAAAGTGAAACAATTAAATACCCCGCTTGCGGTGCGCAAATACGTTCCATTTCCCCCCACCAAGTGCCTCAAATTTTACCGAAAGTCACGTGACATGTGCGACCGATACCAGACGGACGGTAAATCACGTTAAGATTTGAAGAAATTTCTGTTATAAACTGATATTAATCAGCAACTTTTTAATTGGTCAGATGTCACTGGGTCATAAAATGTTGTTAGAGTATGTTACCGCAACTTGTGACCCTCTCTGGTGCGATATTTGTGTATTATGCAATTATTTAGCGTGAAACGTAGGGGTCCGAGACAGAACAGCCGATTTATGACACTTCGTTTGATGCGGGTCGGCATAACTTTTTTAATAATCAAGCAATTAACATGCGGTTTAAAGCACATGAAAGGGAATTCATTTACGGAGGGAGCCGTGTCAGGGATTTTTGTTTGCTCAATCAGCGGGTTAATTATCTTTAATTACGTAATATGTATGGTGAAAAAAGTCGCATGAAATATTTGACGTTACGTAATATTTTTTTGAGAAAAGATAGAAAAAATTTGAGACACAGTTCCCCAGATATTATAAGTATGTTTATTTTCCAAAAGTTTGATGACAAAAAATAAAAAAATGACTTTGATATGACGATTTAAAATTTTAGGATTTTTATTAAAAATCAATCATTTACAAAGGCATTTTTTTCAAATATGTTATTTTTTATGATGATCAACAACATTTAATGCACAAAGATCAAATAAATAACAATTATTACTAAAATAAGTTGGTTTAAATAACATTTATTTGAGTACCACGGAAAGTGTCTGTTGTCACATTAAAAAAAACCCTAAAAACAAGTTGAAAAAAAAATCAGATTTGAGACTAGTAAAATTTTTAATACATTTGGCAATTTAATCAGTTGTTATCAGGAACATTTTTTCCTTTGTAATTTATCAACTGATGAAGCTTATTAAATTGAAACATGTCTTGATAAAATTTTAATTGTGTTATTTTTTTATCTAGTTATCTTAACAAACATTTTAGGACTAATTTTGCGGACTGTAGCTATTTTTGCAATGAATATTTTATAAAAGCAATTTGTATAATTTTTCAATAAATGTATAGTAAATTATTTTTTTGTCAACAATTAGATTTCAACGAGAATTGGTCAATTTGAAAGTGACTGCTGACTACTCGTCATACGACCCTACAAAGATTGACCCCTGGTTAATGAGCGTTCTACCGGAACTGTCTCAATATACATATGCCATGCTGAGGAACGGGATGGACCGAACATTGTTGTCAACAACAACGGAAGAAGAACTTAAAGAAGTTTGTGGTGTTAATAATGGGATTCATCGAAGGATCATTATGCAGCATTTAAATGGTGAGTTATTGCTTTAATATATATATAACTTCAGCCATGTTGTGAATACTTTACTATGCTTTTTCATATATTATCTTAGATGTTTTTTATATGGTGTAGAGAAATGTTGCTTTTTTATGCCCCCGCCATGTAATGGCCGGGGCATATAGTGTTACCCTGTTCCGTCATTCCGTCCTTCCGTCCTTCCGTCCTTCCGTCCTTCCATCCTTCCGTCCTTCCGTCCTTCCGTCATTCTGTCATTCCGTCATCATCAGTTTCCGTTCATTATCTTAAGAACGGTTGCACACATTCAACTCAAATTTGACATATGAATATGTCATGACAAAATACAGGTCAAGTTCGAATTTGGTCATGGTTCGATGATTTTTGACAGAGTTATGCCCCTTTTACTTTGAAAATAATATGAAATTTCAGTTTCCGTTCATTATCTCCCCAACAGTACAACACATTCAACTCAAACTTGACATATGGATATGCCATGACAAAATACAGGTCAAGTTCGAATTTGGTCATGGTTCGATGATTTTTGGCAGAGTTATGCCCCTTTTACTTTGAAAATAATATGAAATTTTCAGTTTCCGTTTATTATCTCCCCAACGGTACAACACATTCAACTCAAACTTGACATATGGATATGTCATTAGAAAATACAGGCCAAGTTCGAATTTGGTCATGGTTCGATGATTTTTGGCAGAGTTATGCCCCTTTTACTTTGAAAATAATGTGAATTTTCAGTTTCCGTTCATTATCTCCCCAACGGTACAACACATTCAACTCAAACTTGACATATGGATATGTCATGACAAAATACAGGTCAAGTTCGAATTTGGTCATGGTTCGATGATTTTTGGCAGAGTTATGCCCCTTTTACTTTGAAAATAATGTGAAATTTTCAGTTTCCGTTTATTTTCTCCCCAACGGTACAACACATTCAACTCAAACTTGACATATGGATATGTCATTAGAAAATACAGGCCAAGTTCGAATTTGGTCATGGTTCGATGATTTTTGGCAGAGTTATGCCCCTTTTACTTTGAAAATAATGTGAAATTTTCAGTTTCCGTTCATTATCTCCCCAACGGTACAACACATTCAACTCAAACTTGACATATGGATGCGTCAAAAGAATGCGCAGGTCATGTTCAAATTTGGTCATGGTTCAATGATTTTTGGCAGAGTTATGCCCCTTTCACTTTGAAAGTAATATGAAATTTTCAGTTTCCGTTTATTATCTCCCCAACAGTACAACACATTCAACTCAAATTTGACATATGGATATGTTTTTGGAATGCCCAGGCCAAGTTGGAATTTGGTCATGGTTCAATGATTTTTGGCAGAGTTATGCCCCTTTCACTTTGAAAATAATATGAAATTTACAGTTTCTGTTCATTATCTACCCAACAGTGTTACATATTCAACTTAAATTTGACATATGGATATGTCAAAGGAATGGGCAGGTCAAGTTGAAATTTGGTCATGGTTTGATGATTTTTTTTGCAGAGTTATGTCCCTTTCACTTTGAAAATAATATAGATACATCTTAGGAATAAGCAGTTTAAGTATGAATTTGGTTGTGGTTCAACTTATCTTTCCTGAATGTTGGAAAAATTTTGTACTTTCAGTTTCAGCACTCATACTTTTAGCCATTATTTTGGCTACAAATATGAAATATGTTATTTTTAAAAGGTTAAAACTGAATAATTTCAGTGTCTTGAACATTGTATGAAAATGGTTTGTGTTAACATTTTAAAGTTTTAAGGGCTTTGAACTTAAAATGAAAAAAATAATTAATGCACCATCTGAAATTTTGGCTGCATGCGGGGGCATCCGTGGCATGATGACACATTTCTAGTTTCCTTATTATTCAAATACATTTATTACATTATTTTATGGTGAAACATTTTATTTTATACTGATGATAATTTTGTTGTAGCATGTTATTTCAGTAGTTATTGCTTCCCTCTGCAATATGAACATGCTTTAAAAAAGCTCCAGAGAATTTAATGCTTATCAAATACAAGAAATTAAAAGGAGAAATTTATGCTTGCTTTTAAGCTCGCCTGAGCACAACTGCTCAGCGCTGAGCTTTTTGATAGCATGATATCCGTTAGCCTGTGTTATTATTAAGTTCTTTAAACATGTTAAATAACATCTTCTTCTTAAACTGATGGTAGATTATGACCAAACTTAACAGGAATGATTAGGGTAAATATTGGCCCAGCCTTGGGAGTTATTTACAAAGATTTCTTTAGGAAAACTCATGGCCATGGAGCTATAAATCGAGCTATAAATTGAGTTAAAATGAATCATAGCCCTTTTGTCCCTAATAGGCACTGTCTAAATGTGATCCAATGTCTTCTTTATAACTTTTACAATGAAGATTTATGCAATTTTTCTAACATTGGATCTCAGGTGAGCAATTCACCGCCATGTTGGCCCTCTTAGTTAACTATCTGCATTGTGTGAAATTCATTTCCTTCGCTGCTTTATTTTACTCTGTTACAAATTTAAATATCTTTGTTAAACAAACCTAGATTCTTCTACCAAATAATGCTATCTTAATACTTACTTACATATAGAAATCCAGTCTTGAAAAAAGTAAAACCTGTCATTTGTTTCCAAAACTTGGTTTCCAGTGTCATATTTTGTTGTCTTAATTTATATATGTTTAGGTATAGTAGATATTATAATAATTATTTATGGAATTAGTTACATGAAGTAATTCTATATTTGAAATCAGTTGGGTTCCTATTGGTCAGTTTGAATTGCATACACAGGTAAACAAGCATAACATATTGATGGGTTTTTCTTTAGACTGGTTTTCCTATATTTTTGCAATACGTTTCATTTAACATTATACTTTTAGGGCAAACCATTCTATAATAATATTAAGATATATAACATTTGTGATAATGTTTTGATATGTTTTTCTTCCTTGTAGTGTCTGGTAAACAATTTTACTATTTAGTTTATTATAATGGCTGGTATTTTTAATCATATGCATTTTTGTTTTGACAAAATTGTCGAGAGCTTGCTTTGAGTGCTTTGTTTAAGTTGATTAATCCATTTATCTGTTTAGGCCAAGAATCCTGCTTTTCCAGAATTATTTACTTTTTTTAGCCTTACTTGTTATGCTATATACATTTGTATACTATGTTAAAGAATGTTTATTAATTATGTATATAGTAAAGAAGCTTTATTTTATGTTTTTAAAGTTCATACCTAATACCTGTAATTGTTATTATCTTCTTTATTATAATAGTCCTCCCAGTAGAAGCAAACAATTAGTGCCAATGTGAAATCGTAGTTGACTACTTAATTATGTTTAATTTAATTTATTCATATACAATGACTTTAATTATATACAGTAGAACTTCGGTAAGTCGAAGTTCAAGGGACTTACGTAAAAAGTTTGACACATCGGGACTTCGACTCATATATAGGTCCGAATTTTGCGACAAAATTTCGCCATGACACAACGTTTACAAAGGACATTACAAATGGCGTTACAAAGAAAAGGGGCGATAAGTAAATCATCTTATAGTACTTATCATCTACAATACTGTTTCGTGCGTGTTTAAAACAGAACAAGAATATTTTTTTTAACAAAATTTATTTATTTATTCATTCATTTATTTATGTACAACAAAACAGGCAAATAAAACATGACTTAAATAAATACATTTTACTTTTTAATACACAAGAATAATGAGCACATTTTTTATTTAACGAATATGAATATCACACATCACAATGTTTATAAACGATTATCATTAACATTCACAAAGAAATCAGAGATTGATGTCTGCTTACACTCACTTCTTCTTAGATAATATCTGCTGAACATAGAACTAATGTCACTTAATTTTGCGATGGCTCTTTCTGTCTCCGCATCACTCCCGATTCCTTGTTGGTGAAGAAAGTCCCTGACCACATCTAATCCGTCCATGGCATCGAAAATTGTCACTCCAGATCTTGAAGGCAGCTCATCATCATCGTTATCATCAGGAAGGGTTTAATCGTGAGATTGACGTTGTGAAACAACGTTATTTATGATTTCATCGTCAGTGAGATCAGCGCATACCGGAACACTGTCATCTGCCGATGTGTATTGCTCAAATGATACACCAGAGGTCAGACGCCTCAGAGTCGACAGAGGTAAGTCATCCTCAGGGTCGTCCTCAATCATTTCAATACCGGAAACTGAAGACTGCTGGAATCCAGCATGTCGGAAGCAGTTAGCAATAGTCTGAGGACTGACAGCATGCCAAGCTGTTTTGAGCATGTACAATGCATCTAAAACTGAGATGCTTGTTTCTCCACCTGTTTCAATAGCTCGAAGCTGTCGTTGAATGACTTGCTTTCTATAGTGAGCTTTGAGATTTTTTATGACTCCCTGATCCATAGGTTGGGTCACGGATGTTGTGTTTGGTGGCAGAAATACGAGTTTGACAGATCTTAATCCCGTGATGTCTGGATGTGCAGGGCAGTTGTCGACAATCAACAGAACCCTTCGCGACTGTGCCGAAATACGGCGGTCAAACTTTTTCACCCAGTTAGTGAAAATTTCTGATGTGACCCATGCTTTTTTGTTTGCATCATATTCAATTGGCATTGTTTTTAGATTTTTGAAACAGCGAGGATTTTTTGATTTTCCTATCACAAAAAGCGGTACTTTCTCAGACCCTGTCATGTTTGCGCAGACCATAACTGTTAATCGATCCTTGCTCATTTTACCACCGTGGCACTGAACATCTTTAAATTCTAAGGTCTTGTCAGGCAACATTCTAAAGAACAAGCCAGTTTCATCGGCATTGTAAATGTCTTGTGGCTCATATTCAGTCAGATAGGTTTGAAGTTTAGATTTCCACTCGGTCATTGCCGTAGAATTAGAGTCGACAGATTTTGCTTCACCACAAACTTTTTTGAAGGACAGTTCATGTCTTTCTTTAAATCTGTCAAGCCAGCCTGTTGAGCACTCGAAATCAGCAACATTGAGCTGGTCTGCAAATTGCTTTGCTTTTTGTTTGACAATTTCACCAGATAGCGGTATGTTTTTTGATCTTGCATTAGAAAACCATTGCAAGAGGGCACTTTCTAACTCTGGAAATTTTGCCTTTTTGTCACGTTTGCGTTGTGGGCCAATGTCTGCCTCTGAAAACTTCTTTTTAATTTCATCTCTTTTTTTCAACCAAGTTGAAAGTGTATTAGGTGGAATACCAAATTTACTTGCGACATCTTTTTTCTTTATTCCCTTTTCTACTTCTAGTATTGCCTGGTATTTAATTTCGTAAGTCTGCACATTCAGTTTACGCTTTATTCCTCGCTCTGATCCGACCGATCTAGCTATCCCCCCGGAATAACCGGGTCCTTCACTAGATGCTTCGGTCACATTTGTGCGGCTCGCTATCCCCCCGGGTTGGGTACCGGGTCCTTCGCTTACCAACACGTTATGATCAGTAGAAATATCCATAATGGAACTAATTTGTCAACATTCATAGAGGTTTATATTCGAATCATAAGACATTGAGAGTGATTACGATTAAAGACATAATAAAGGATATTTTCACACATAATAACGCATGCAAAAGCTGTTAAAACAAGCGGCTGTGTGTTATTAACACCTGTCAGATAAGATGATCGGCAATCATCTACGCGGGCGGAAAAGGTGTGAAAAATATCTGGAGATTAAAGGTGTAAAAATTATTGAAGGACTTCGACTTATTTGTGGTAAATTGCACTCGATTTATTCTACACGGACCACTGAAAAAACTCGACACATCGAAAAATTCGACACATAAAAGTTCGACTCATTTGTAGGTTTTTATAAGGAATATATAGGGGAAAAAATCGGGACTTTCATTTTTATTCGACACATCGAGAAAATCGAGTAATCGAAGTTCGACTCACCGAAGTTCTACTGTACCATTGGTTAATGTCCAAGTAGCAGTTTGTATCATGTCCGTCTGCTTAGCACTAAAGGGAGAGCATCGCATAAGTTATACAGTGATTCTGGTTCGATCCTTGGGTTTGTGGTAATTTCTTGGTGACAGTTGATATCGAACATTGAGTCTAATGGTCATATGTCTTTCACCACTTACTCAGAAATTATGTGGGATTAATAGTTAGTCACATACGAGGAAATTGGTATTTACTGGTTAGTTACCCAGAAAAGACGGTCAGGTAGATTGACTGCTGAGATATAAACTTAAACTGGGTTAAAATCATGGTTAAAAACCCAGTAAATCAAACAAAACAAACAGCCTTTACAGTTGTGCATAGACTTTAAACTCCAATAAGAAAGCTGATAAATATTGGGGGGAAAAACAACAGCAGTTTATTGCATAGCTCCTTTAAATATAAGAAAATAATAATCATAAAAAAACATTTATGCTATCCTCTGGTAGGAAAAAGTATAACCTTGTTTTTTAAGTTTTGAAAATTTATGTTGTTTATTTATTATTAGGTTAATTTTCAGTTAAAACTTAAGTTTTTATAATGCAATTAACAAATGTTTGTGCAAGTAGTATAAGCATGTGCAATTTTAGGGCTGGCTATTGGAACAGAAAGCGAGGTGTCACCCGATGCAAGTTGTAAGTCTTGAGCTCATACATGTATTTTTTTTTTTTCATTGTTTGGATGTGTTGAAGGTTTATGGACACTGATTATATATATTAAAAACCCTCTCTGGCTCCTAAACATACAGTCAAACCTGTAGTACAAATTATTTCTGAATAAAGATCATTTAAACAAAACCTTATCACTAAAGAAGTCCCAATGTTTAAGTAGTTTCCCTTCTTAATAGATTTATATTAATGCAGAAAATTAATAACCTTCAATAATAGAGCACCCATAAACAAAGACTATTTTCCAATTTTTGTAAAATGGCCTTTCTAAACAAGTTTCACTGTACTGAGTTACATTTTCCTTCTGGTTTAAGATAGAAGTATTCGTTGAAAACATTTTAAAAATAAAAACTGCTATAATAAATGTCCATGAGTCTTGATAACTGTAGTGATTGTACAAAGTGCATGACAGTGCTGTCAAGTGTATCATGAATGTAACAAATACAGTAGATGCATTATATGCACATATACATGTGTATAAGATTGTGAATTTGTGTATGAATGGTGCATATGTGTATGAATGTTTATGTAGAATGCATGTGCTTGGTAGATATAATTTATAATTGTGCTGTCATGTTTTAGTGTAGATAGCTAATTTATAATGGTGTAACAAATGGACATTTTCCTTGGAATGTTTTGGAATTAGTCTTGGTATTAATGAAATTTAAGTATATGTATTACATTAAAGTATTTTAATGATTTTAGATGTATTCAATTATTTCAGTACAATTTTTATTGTCTCTTAATCTTCACAGATTATAATTACATGCCTTTTAATTGTATGATCATATAAATTATATTCAGTTAACTATTATTTAAAAAAATAAATTTCAATCCGTAGGTAAAGGACATACAGATACACCTATGGTTTCTTACCTTTTAAGTAAATACATGAACAATAAATTAGATGTCTCTCACAAATTGGAAGTAAAATGTTTGTCCTTGCACGAAATGTTTATGTTGTTTTGCATTGATTTTTGTGTTTGTGGTCATATCTCCATATTTTCTAGATTGTTAAATTTGAAATGGAATTTGGATGACCTATAACTTACCATTAGTACAGAGCCAAACAATCTCACATAATTATTTGACTCTATTTGGATGTTCTGCTATAATTGAATACTCAGACTTTATTGTTGTTATTCCAGCTACTGGTAAAGATTTTTCAATATTCAGCCACTCCATCAACCACCCCCATTCCCCCACTTTAGCCAAGATTTTATTTTATATCCCCTTCCCCCGCCTTCCCTGTGTTATGTACCTGCATTAAATGATTTATCTTTTTTTGCTGTATTTAAGTGACTGATCCATATTTTTTTTGGCTGAATTTAAGTGACCAATCCTTTTAGGGTGAAATTAAGTGCCTAATCCTTTTTAGGCTGAATTAAGTGACCAATCCGTTTTAGGCTTAAATTAAGTGACTAATCCTTTTAAGGCTGAATTAAGTGACCAATCCGTTTTAGGCTTAAATCAAGTGACTAAATTAGGCTAAATTAAGAGACCAATCCTTTAATCCTTTTAGGCTGAATTTAAATGACTAATCCTTTTTAGGCTGAAAATAAGTGACCAATCTGTTTTAGGCTGAATTTAAATGACCATTCCTTTTAGGCTGAATTTAAATGACCAATCCTTTTCTCTTTTTTTGCTGAAACTAAAAAGAACACTGACTTCTTGTGTTATGAAAATTATCATATTTCACTTTTGGCTACACCACCACTCATGAAATAATTATTTTCATACCACTCAATGAAAATAAATCCTGTATTTATAGAAATAACTGACCATCTATTTATTTTAAATAATTATTTTTTTATATATTAACATTATCTTTATATTTAACTGCATTTTTTTATATTTAATCTGTAAACAGATGAAATGAAAACAAAGATAGAACAGTGTAAGTATTAATATTGGAAAAATCAGTTGTGGATTTGATTAATAATTCACACCCCCTAAGTTTTTGTGAAATAATATTTGCCTTAGATAGACAGAATAATTTACTAACTTAAAAAGTTCTGCTTTTTTGACTTCACATGTATTTACCTGAAGCAGCAAATTCTGCAGAGAATAATGGAACTTTTTCTATCAAAACTAGTGAGCTTAAAATCCAGTTTTCATGTATCCCAGGCATAGTCAGGGGAACTATTGCTTATTGTTACCATTTACAAAATAATCATATATTCTTAATTACATGAAGTATGGCTTCAGACACGTAATGCAATATACACAGTGACTTAAATGGATTTTTTGCTACATTTTCAACAGTATATTTCAAAGATATCAAAAGCTTCTTTTAACATTTTAATACATTCATGAGTAATATACCTATGTACTGAGAACCAAGTACTACCATCAATAAAACATCACAGGTGTGCAGTCTGACCTGAGAAATAACTTCTGCTTAAATTTATGGTATTAAACCCCCTTCTCCCAAAATGAAAATGGAACATTCCAAATCCAGAACAACATTCTGCAAATTAGGCATTATTAGGTATTGTACACCTTTATAAAAAAATGATATTCAATCTCAATTTCATGTTTAGTACACATTTTCCATAACCAATGGAATAGTGGTTTCAATTTAAAATCAGGTATTCGTTTACTTTGATTATCTGTTTTGTTACACAAATCATACCATATGTTTCTGCAAATTATTTTTATTGCTATTACATTTATATCAAGGCATTGATTTTGCATGAAATTCTTTTTTTAATTCAAATCTAGATAAAAGGTAATTATTCATTACACATTTTTGAAAAAAAATGTTCCAATTTGGTTGCCTCATTTTTGCTCCACTTTATTGAGAGAGAAAAATTGAAGCTTAGATGATCATGACCATCTTATCTGCATTGGCATCTACATCATTGGTTAACCTTCTTGATAAAAGTCAATTTTCTCTGAAACTATCAAAGTTATTCGCTTCAAGCTGTACAGTCATGTTCACAGCCATGGTAGAAGGGCAGACAAACCTAAATTTATTTCATTTTGGCAGTTATGCCTCTTTTTAAACTTAAATTATTTTGCTGATGTCCATTTCTCAAAAACTATCAAAGATATTCACATAAAACTTGGAATACTTGCTCAGTATCAGAATTGGAATGCAATTTTAATAGTGTAGGTAATCTATTATTATTATTTTTTTACTCAGTTATGTCTCTTTTCCAACTTCTAATTTCTTTGTTAATTTTTTTTGTTTTGGTACAATTCTCAAAAACTTTAAGAGGTATTCACTTTAAACTTGCAATATTTGATCATCATCAAAATTAGAATGCATTTTGAATGATAAAAAGATAAACTCATTCAAAATCATGGCAGGTAAGTCTGCCAAGTGCTTTTGCAGAATTATTCCCCCTTTTTCTACTTTTCTTTAATTATACATGTACTATCCAGGACTGAGAAAAGTTGAATGTGTTGTCTGAGGATATTTTGCATATTACTTAAAGTTTTTTTCTACTTTCCCCACTGTCCTTTATAGTTTATTCTATTTCCCAATATTCATTATTTCTGTTTTTGTTGTCTATTTTCCTTATTTCAGTCTTCCCTTTTCCCCCCACCTTTTTGAGGTAAATAATGTTCATTCACTGTGCCATGTCTATTTACCTTATTTTCCTTATAGAAAATGTATAAGTCTTTCCATTTTCCCCCACCTTTTGGAAAAAATGTTGTTTTTTAACTGTGGCACGTCCTTTACAATTCAGTGTCTTCCAGTTGTTGTTTGTGTTTTGTACCATGTGTAAGTTGGACGTTGACATTGTTTTTTTTAGATGATTTTAAAATTGTGATGCAGTGTAGAAATAATAACTTACTTACCATACCCTTATGATAATGCTTTATTCTAACAACTTATCATTCAGTTTTATCACTTTTAAATATTATATAGTTAGAGGGACTCCATTGAGGTTTTTTGGAATAATGAGACTGGAAATTATTCTTTAAGAAATAATACTCCATTTGGTGTATGTATATACTAGGTATAATGACCAAGAACTCATGTGCAAAATTTTAGATAATGTCCTCTCCATCTTTCCAGCAAAACTTCTAATTGCGAAAAATGATCCAAAATTGAAAAGTGTTGCAATGATTTTCACTCAGATTGGGCTAAGAATAGCACAAAAATATGGTTTTAATTTATTTCTGAGTTTATTCTTTATTGTCTTTTGCATATATGCCAGTTTTACATGCCCAAGTTGATGTATGTAAGAAATTCAATTTTAGAAGTGGAATTCCTTTATATGAATATATTTTTTTAGTGTTTGATATCAGTCCATGAAATTTTTTAGAGATACTATGATGACTGGACAATCACACTACATTCATCCTTTTGAAATTTATGTTCACTTTAATGGTTTTCAACCCTATTAGAGTGGCGGCGTGGCAAAGTGGTTAACGTGTCAGACTAGTAATCTAAGGATTGCTGGCCCATTCAAGGGGCAAGCCGTTGTTTCCTTGAGCAAGAAACTTTACATTCATTGCCAAGTACTTGTTGGTTCCAGGAACGGATTCGAGGGTGTTTCAATAGGCTTATATAGCTTCAAACACAAAAATTCTATAAACTAACCCAATTTTCCTCCAGTCAATGACTTCCATTCCAAACTTTCTAAGAACAATTAGTGACTGTAGGAGGGTTCGTGAGGTGGTAAAAGGGGTAATTTCCTCAATATTATGATGGAACATTGTAATTTGAATTGAATGATAAAACCCAACAAAAGGGATTGCTTGGTCAATTTCCTCTTTTTTTTATTCAAAGAATTTCTTTTTATAGTTCATAAGCTTGAATAGTGAATATAAATGATACTTTCTTGTGATGTATGTAGATATAAATGTATTTGAAACTTACACTTAGCTGAGATATAATGTTTATTAATATTCTGACTTTTCTATATTCATGTATGAATAGTTGAGTGTATTTTAGGTTTGCACTATTTATAATCTTACTTATTTTAGTTAATTGTACATAAACAAATATATGCATAGCGTATTGTGAATTTTTGCTTTTGCACATATGAATTAGGCTATTTTGAAGTTTGTAATTGTTATGATCCTATCAAAATTCCAGGGCTGAAATTGGATATGTGATTTTCAAACCCATTCTGTATTTAAAGCTTTTTGTTATTTTTCTAGTTTTTCTGTTAATTTTGAATTGTAATGTCTAAGTAGTATAGATACAGCATATATTTTTTTTGTGGTGATTTGAATCTGTTGTTATTGTTATAGTGAGCTATAAATTGAGCCCATTTTCATAAGGTTTACACAATGGCTAAATATCGATGTATTCATTGAAGTAATGTAATGAAACAAGTGTGTGTTTTTTTCAGATCTTAGAAGCTCCGGCGGTCTGGTAACAAGATCAAGTATAGATTGTGGAGCCAGCCTGGCTATCTGTCCTAGACCTGTTGATGTGTTCATAAGTTATAGAAGATCCACAGGATCTCAACTTGCCAGGTCTGTACTATACAAGTCAAGCATTATTTATTTAATCTTGTTTTTGAAGAAAGTTATAAGCTATTTCTTTCTTCAACTTATGTGTATGTTTCCTAGAACTGACCATTACTTGTCTTGTGGTTATAATATTTTTTTCTGAGTTCAGTCTGAAATCTCTAAATTTTCATTGGTCAGTGTGCATTCTGAGCTGGTTTTTGACCAATCAAATACTGGAGATCTGAGTTTGAGCTTAGAAAATTTGTGTCATACCTTGGTCCAGGTGTCATATGAGGAAAACATGGTGTCAAAATTAATAAGGGAACAAGATTGTTGCCCCAGTTGGGCTCATACCTACAATCTGTAGGATTCAGAAAGAGACACAGTTAAGCCACTAATTCTTTACATAATTTTTTCTGGGTTTTAAATCACATTATCTTTGTCAAATTCTTTCAAGTAAGTAAGGGTTTTAACTGCTTACCAAAAACAAACCAAACCACTTTATATCAAATTAACTCCCCTTTATAAAATTAAATATGGAGGATAAATTACTTGTATAAAGTTAAATAAAAAATTTCTTGAGACTGAGTTAAAATAAGGTGACAAGAGAAGTCATTTTATTGTGTGTTATATACTGTATGATTGTTTTCTATTGACAGTTTGTTGAAGGTTCATCTACAGTTGCGAGGGTTTTCTGTCTTTCTGGACATAGATCGACTACGAGCTGGCAAGTTTGATGAGAATCTACTCATGAATATAAAACTTGCCAAACATTTTCTCCTGGTATTGACCACCAATGCTCTAGACAGGTGTATCGGAGATACAGACAGGCAGGACTGGGTTCACAAGGTACGTTAATTATCATTAACCCTTTGACTGCTGGGAAAATTGTCTTCCAGACAAATATTATCAGGTTTGATGTCAGGTGATTTATTTACTATTATAGCCTTATCTGTTACGTACTGTGTATGGGCTGGAGGCCTTTTGTACAATAAAGCTATTGAATTGAATTGATATGATGTCAGAGAGTAGCAATCAGTAATGTCACATGGTAACATCATTTTTCGGCTGGCTGATATTACCAAACCTTTCTCACACACATACTGAGTTATGTCTTTCTTGGATTGGATTTGTTCATTGTAATTAAATAATATCACATCCCACTGTGGGTAATAGAACACACTGTTCACCCCTGACAAGATGATGTCAACCTTGGCTAACACATCAATCTACTGTTTACCTTATGCTGTCGTTTTTTTGTGAAGCCTTTGAGTCTTAGACACACAATTTTATGCAGTATAGTCTTTGGTTATAATGTGGTCATAGTGTTAAACTCTATGAAACCTTTGTTCTAGAACTTTTTTTACACAGTAAGGTATTTGATCATGGTGTGGTCATAGTAATAAATTCTGAGGTATCTTTGTTCTAGAATTAATTTTATAATCTTTCATATCATTTCTCTCAACATATTTATACTAGAATCAAGATTTATATGCAGGATGACTTTATAAATACTTGTAGGAGATAGTGACGGCCTTGGAGAGTCAGTGTAACATTATACCGATCCTAGACAACTGTGACTGGCCGGAACCGGAACAATTACCCGATGACATGAGACCTGTGTGCTATTTTAACGGGATTAGGTAAGAGCCGGTTATTTGGTGAAACAATTGTTATCCTGGTTGTATTTTTAGCTCACCTTGCACAAAGTGCAGGTGAGCTTTTAGGATGGCCAACCAAATGGCGTCCGTCGTCTGTTGTCCGTCCACATTTTAAATATTCTAAGGACATCTTCTATGATACCCCAAGGCCAATGTTAATGAAACTTGGCAGGAATACTCTTTGTATGAAGCTCTATCAAGATTGTTCAAAGAATTCCATTTCATGCAGAACTCTGGTTGCCATGGCAACCGAAAGAAAAATCTTTAAATATGTTCTTTTAAAGAACCCAAAAAGCTAGAGCTTAGATATTTGGCATGAAACAACTTCTAATGAGTGTCTACCAAGTTTGTTCAAATAAAAGTCCTAGGGTCAAAATTGGCCCCGCCCCAGGGGGTCATTGATTTTCCCTATATGCATATAGTAAAAACTTAAAAAATCTTCTTTTAAAGAACCCAAAGAGCTAGAGCTAAGATATTTGGCATGAAACATCTTCTAGTGAGTGTCTACCAATTTTGTTCAAATAAAAGCCCTGGGGTCAAAATTGGCCCCGCCCGGGGGGTCATTGATTTTCCCTATATGCATATAGTAAAAACTTAAAAAATCTTCTTTTAAAGAACTGTAAAAGCTAGAGCTTAGATATTTGGCATGAAACATCTTCTAGTGAATGTCTACCAAGTTTGTTCAAATAAAAGCCCTGGGGTCATAATTGGTCCCGCCCCAGGGGGTCATTGATTTTCCCTATATGCATATAGTAAAAACTTAAAAAATCTTCTTTTAAAGAACCCAAAGAGCTAGAGCTTAGATATTTGACATGAAATATCTTCTAGTAATGTGTCTACCAAGTTTGTTCAAATAAAAGCCCTGGGGTCAAAATTGGCCCCGCCCCGGGGGGTCATTGATTTTCCCTATATGCATATAGTAAAAACTTAAAAAATCTTCTTTTAAAGAACCGTAAGAGCTAGAGCTTAGATATTTAGCATGAAACATCTTCTAGTGAATGTCTACCAAGTTTGTTCAAATAAAAAGCCCTGGGGTCAAAATTGGCCCCGTCCCAGGGGGTCATAGATTTTCCCTATATGCATATAGTAAAAACTTAAAAAATCTTCTTTTAAAGAACCCAAAGAGCTAGAGCTAAGATATTTAGCATGAAACATCTTCTAATGAGTGTCTACCAAGTTTGTTCAAATAAAAGCCCTGGGGTCAAAATTGGCCCCGCCCAAGGGGTCATTGATTTTCCCTATATGCATATAGTAAAAACTTAAAAAATCTTCTTTTAAAGAACTCAAAGAGCTAGAGCTAAGATATTTAGCATGAAACATGTTCTAATGGGTGTCTACCAAGTATGTTCAAATAAAAGCCCTGGGGTCAAAACTGGCCCTGCCCGGGGGTCATTGATTTTCCTTATATGTATAGCAAAAACTTAAAAATCTTCTTTGAAAAAACCCAAATAGTTTGAGTTTAGATATTATACATGAAACATCTTTAAGTAAATATCTACAAAGTTTGTTCAAATAAAAGCCCAGGGTCAAAACTGGCCCTGCCCCAGGGGTGTCATTGTTTTTAACTATATGTGTATAGTAAAAACTTAAAAATCTTCTTTTAAAAAACCAATGAGCTAGAACTTAGATGTTTAGCATGAAACATCTTCTTATGGTGTCTACCAAGTCTGTAAAAATTGGCCGGGGGGGGGGGGGGGGGGGGGGCTATATACAGGTGAGCGACCTCAGGGCCATCATGGCCCTCTTGTTACATTGTTTAATGTTATTAATTATTATTGCACATGTTTTTTTTTTTTTTGAAACATTACAAAGATAATAATAGTTACAGCAAATAAATGCTTTTTAACTAAAAAGATTCATTACTGCAAAAAAAAAGAAGCTTTTCGTACACCAGGATGTATTACCGCAAAAAAAAAAGCCTTTCAAACATCAGGATTTATAACTGCAAAAAAAGCTTTTTGAACACTGCATAAAAAGCCTTTGGAACACCAGGATTTATTACTACTAAAGTGAAAGCTTTTCAAACACCATGATTTATAAAATTACATTACAATTACATGTTATAAAAGATCAAAAAAAACAAAATGTGAGGAAATGCCATTATGAAAGAAATAATATAACACTATTATTTATTGCATGTTTAGTATCTTATATATTAGAATAATCTGTTTACCAGTTTATAAATTAGACTGAATCATTGGAATGAATGTTCAAGGTTTTTATATTTTGAAAAAAAAATTACATAAGCTTAAAAACTTTTTTGACTTCTTTTTCTTGGAAAGATTGATTTTAGTTCTCTCAATTATCTTGAGTTCACAGGTAAATATCGCAACAGTTTTCATGAAAAAATAACCAACAACAACATAAACATTTTGTGTAAAATCATATCTGTCTTTTCTCAAATAGAAATTTTCTAAAATCCTTGAATTCAATTCCTAACGAGAATTAAGAATAGTTTTATATGGAATTACACATAGTTTTAAAATATAATGACATAGATAGATATGAACACTGTGTGATATACATATATTACATATATAAAGAAAATGTGGCAGGGAATATCTGTCTGGTGTGACTGGAATGCATGTTTATTAACAAAGTTGGTTCTTTATCATTTGAAATAACAAACTGCTGCATTTGAGCTTTGTTGAAAAGGGACTTTATATCACTTATGATGCTTTTGTTGGCAGATGGCATTGTCTTGTAAATTGTCTGTAAACAATCATATGAACTGACAAAGAATGTCACTTCCCAGTTTGTTTATTTTCTAAGCCCCAGTCATAAGAATGGGGAACTGGCATGGAGTGTTCACCTTGTCTTTTTGTATATGTATGTGTAACCAAAATCGTGCCCGGTTTTTACTTTGTTACCAGTATACCTTGATGTGTTGTACAATCTCGGCAGAACCAGATCTATACATGCCTTTCACAAATATAAGAATATCTGAAATCTGGCAAAGCTCACATAAATTTTCCCTGTATTTTAAATGCTGATGAAGATTAAGTACTCTATCTTAAATTTGGAAGAAATTATATACTGGAATCAATATTGCAATGTATTCAAACATATTATTCAAATATTGGATTTTTTTTTCATGGCTGAATATCTGTCCGTGATATGAATATTTGAATTCAAATATTGGCATTGTTGCGAGTTTCAAAGTTAATGTTAAGCTTTTAGGGTTCAAGTTCAGAAAACAGGTCATCTAAGGTTAAGAACTCTACATGTAAGTGATCTTTACCAAACTTTGTCTTTTACCTAAATGAGTTTTGTTCAGTGTTTATCTTGACGATTACTAGGTCTAGTTTTATCCTGAGAAAAATTAACATAGTCTTCATAATACTTGTTGAAAATGTTTGCTGTATTAAAATTTTTAAAAATATGGTGTTTAAAACTAGGTTAATGAAATAGGGCAAACTGAAATTTGTGTTAATGTTGAAGTCATCATAACTTTCATTGTGAGTTGATAATAGCTAGATCAAGTTAAAATATGAGTCACCTGTTGTCAGAATCTTGTTCTGTATTTTGGTCATAGACTGGCGTTCTTCTATGCATGAAATGATATCAGTTGCAGTCTTCTCTTGGATAAGCTGTTAAAGGGAGATCTTTCTATTTTTATGATGACCCCTTTTTTTTACACGTTTGAAAGCACTGATTATAATTTTGTTTACAATTTTTCTGTTTCATTCTTACTGGTGAATGCATTGATTTCTATATAATTATTTTTTTATTGTTTGTGTGAATGAAAAAGATTTTTTTTGTTTCTGTCCTCTTGATGTAGATGGGTGCATGAATATCAAGATGCGTGTATTAACAAAGTAGAGAGTTTCCTACGTGGTGAACTTAAATCGCTCCCGGATAAAATGTGCCATGCCACGGCATTGAAGAACTCGGCATCGGCAGTGTCATCAGTGTCTTTAGGTCAAAGGTCAAGCCGTGGTTCAAGTTGCAGTTTGACCCCACAAAACAGCTTCGAACTTCCGAAACCAAGAGACTGGACAATAGAAGATGCCCCGGTCATTGGTTCATTGGTGCGGTACCTTGAGTAAATTGTAGAAGTGATCTAACCTTGGTAGTTTTGTATGTAAATTTAAAAGCATAATGTAGAACAATAATTGTCTGTCGCAACACCAGGGATTTTTTCCTCATACTGAGTATGGGACCTACAGAAATTAAACAAAACAACAAAATTATAAAGATAAAATTGTTGTTTTTCTCTTTAATGAAATTTATATAACTTTTTTGTATACTTATTATTTACAAAGAATGGAACACTAAAAGATGTAAAGTTAATACTTAGGACTGAATTCTGTGTAATAATTGTATCATTTTATCTTACTTTCTTTGTTTTTTTTTTTGTCTAAAAATTGTCTAAAAATTGAAGAAATAAATGGTAACATTATACACAAGGGGTCAAAGGTCTATTATTTGGTACCAGTTCCATGAGTTAAAAAATCCCTATACATGTATTACCCATCCCCTCTTATTACATATTTCAGGGATTTTGTTCACAATATTTCTGAATTAATGGTCAAACTATTCATTAGAAATTAATCTTTATACTTAACTAGGAGAAAAACATGTGACAATCTTGATGTTAATAGTATTATTAATGATAAAAAATGATGATTCTTTATCTCTTTGAAGAATAATAAGTAAGTTTGAGAGCTAACACTGAAGTTGTATTTCCTTCTAGTAAGCCTCTGTCAATATGACATTCTAAATATAAACCTGGCAATCAAATAAAGTAGGCACTGTAGATGTCACACGTGATATTTATCAAGTCACACAATGTCCAATTAAGACTATACTATAAACATCAATCAGCAATGTACTTTAGTATTTAATCATACATGCATACTGAAAGAAAATGTTACTCATACTTATTTAGGCTTTTTTAAACTTTGTAATTGTTTGCATTTTTGTTTGTTTGGATGTACTTTGCTTTGCTGATGTTCACATTATATCTGCTTTGCTTGGCTTGACATCTTAGCTCCTTTTATATTATATATAGTTAACAGATGGCTCGAAATTGCTGTATGTGATGAAATACTGAAAGAAATAACACAACTGTATGAACGGATATTTTTGTGAATCAAAAACTTCACAAAATCATGATTTCAGAATTTTAGAGTTATTTGGCATGTGGACATTGCAAATCCTGATTTTTATAAACTTGCAATATTGCAAACATTTCTACATCATAAACTTAACCACATAAACAACATTTTGCAGAAAGCTGTATTTCCCATGTTTAGTTTACATATACATATAGTAGACAATATACACAATGCTTGATGTTGCAAATGTGGCTCATCAGTAAATTGCTTTTCCTTGATATATACTACCAGTTATTTAATATTTGGTGCTTTCATCTTTTAATTCCTTTTTTCTTTGATCTTACAGATTAAAAGAATTATGTTGTTTTATTTCCATAGGAGGTTTATGATTATAGCTAAATTTTTGCTATTTGCAAAGGTGCTAGCAATTGCTAGGTTAAAGTCTCCATGTTTTTCCAATAGCTAATGTATTTTTGTAACATTCAGCTGAAACTAATAACCAAAAATGACCGTATAAACTTTAACAACCACTGAAAAATTCTGATTATATTTCCATATTTTCACATCATTATTTATTTATTGCATCAATATTGTTATTTTTACTTTGAATTTTAGTAACATTGATCATAGTGCTTCTTACAGTTGGCATAAATCTTTAATTTGAGTGCTTGATTAGACATAATTATGCATTTTTTTCACAATTCATACAAATGTGTTTCTTTAGGTACATATACTCAGTTACTGCAAAAAAATAAAATTATTAAGAAAAATTTTAAGAAATAAAATATCAAGAAGGGTGGCTGCCTCATCATACCTGAAAATCTGAAAACTAAATCTAAGGTTATCTGTGGCTGAGTGGTTAAGGCCATTGACTTCAAACCACTTGCCTCTCACCACTTGAGGTTCAAGCTGCCTCAGTGTTTATGGGTTCTTCATGTGAGAAAGCTATCCAGCTAGTTTAGCTAGTTTATGAAAATTTTAATGTTTGTGGTTCTACTTTTTTACCTGTTCATGTTTAGAGGGGCACCTAGGGTTTTCCTCCACCAGTAAAGCTGGAAAGACGCCATACTGTGCTAGTGTGATGTTAACCCAAACCCAAAATAAAAATACAACTAAAACAACTTTTTAGATTTCGTATAAAGTCACTGATGTATTGAGTCTTGTCTTACTGCATTGCTTTTAAATTTATGTATAAGCCTAATAGTGAGATCAACTATCATCTTAATTAGTTATCAATAAATGTAAATCTTATCTTAATTGATAATTTTTAAGTTATTATTGACCATTCTTTTTCTTTGTTCAGGGTAATGTATGATTATTTTTAATTCAAAACTAACAACTTACAAAAAAGGAATATATGAAGCTACTTGCAAGAAATGTTTATTTTATTCCTGTGAAGTAAAAAAAAGATATTAAGATGTTTTCAGTAATTAAACAAATCAATTTATGTTATGACTTAAAATATTTATTTTTAATTACCTTTCATCTTTTTCTATTTGATTTTCTACAGGTGGATTCATGACTACCAAGATGCTTGTATTGACAAATTGTACAAATTCATCCATGGTCAAACACTCATTGCTCCAGCACAGCCATTATCCCTGCCAGGCCCAGACCATGTACACGGAACAGAACATGTACACGGAACAGAACATGTTCATGGAAAACATGACAAGAAGGAGGTTCCCATCTGCAGTGTCGTTTCAGCTAAGAAAGCTATAGAAAAGGGGAATAAATCTGAAAAGGTTGAAGACTAAAGGGAGATTACTCTCTAGCACATGCATACAGTTATAATACAAAGGGAATGTACTCACATATTTACCTGTATAATTGTGTATTGGTAAAGGGAGAGCACTGTTCATGTATACTGTCTCATAACATAATGGTCAAGGGAGGTTACTTGATAAGGAAGATAAATAACCATAAATATTCCAATACTGAGTGAGTAAGCATTTAATTATAAAGATGTGGCATGTTGTAAATACAAGATAACTCTGAACTTTTGAAGGGTAGATAACTGCTGCAAAATAACTTAACAAAGCTCTTCTTTAAAGGGAAACAACTGCTTGGACTTGATAGCACAGTTGCCTTAATTGCTTAATGGGCAATCACTGATAAGAACAAAATTGTGGAAGTGAATTATTTTTACTTGAGATGAAGTTTTCTGATTGAGTGACACAATATCGTAAAGTTCTGGAACTTTATGCTTTGTTAAATCTTTATACTGTTAACTATTTACTATAGTTATTCTAGTTTTTAAAGAATTTTAATTTAAAATATTTAATTTCAAGCTTTTGCTCAGTTTGGAAAAATAAAACCATGAAAGTTAGCCTGTTATACTTTAGTAAATATTAAAGTATATAAAATGATCACTTAAACAACAATGCACTCAAACTAATAGACACATAGTGCATAAATATCATTTCAGATGCAATTTATTTGACATTGTTCTTATTTGATTTTGTTTTAAATTGTTCATTTCATCAAATTTATTATAATACTGGACATTTATAAAGATGTTTTTCATTAGATAATTGTGATGTTTATTGTAAGTTACTTTATGTTCATGTTGTCAATATTTTGCAAATTTATGAATCCATTAATTGCAAATTTGAATAATAACTGACTAATTTGCATCTGCACCGAAGGGTGACGCCCTCTATGGAATGAAATCAGATTTTGTAAAAGGGCAATTGCAACTTCTTGGACCTTTTCGTCGGTCATAATAGCCGATCATTCGGATTGTTATAATTTATAATTCAGTTGAAGTCTGTAACAAACATTTCATATATAATTGTAATATAAGTGTTAAAAATACCAAAATTAAAGTGTGCAAAATTGTTCAATAAATAAATCCTAATGTAATAATTAATCAGATGTGACCTTGACAAAAACTCTCTGACCATCAAGGACATATTTAAAAAATTAATCAAATTGCAATAACTTATTTATATATTGGTTGATTTGGAAAAAATATCATTTAGGACAAAAAGGTCATATTTAGTTTTCAAATATTACCTTTGACCTCTAAAGCAATTATGGTAAAAAGAGAAGCAGAGTATGTGGCCTTTGCTAATGATGGCTAGTTGAAACCTGGTTACCTAGTATTACCATGTTAAGAGTACTGACTACCCAGATATGACTGAAAATGTGTTCATAAAAACAGACAAACAAATTCTTATTGCTTTCATCAGCTGTATACATGTATATAAATTAAATAAACATTATGATTGTCCAATGAGAGTCATTGTTACAAAATTGAGCCGCGTCATGACAAAACCAACATAATGGGTTTGCGACCAGCATGGATCCAGACCATCCTGCGCATCCGTGCAGTCTGATCAGGATCCATGCTGTTTGCTATCAGTTTCTCTACTTGTTATAGAGTTTGTAAGTGAACAGCATGGATCCTGATCGCGACGCAGCTCAAATGTGCTGTATTATAATGAGTTATAAAATCATTTAACAAACTCAAGTGTTTCATATATTGAGTTGTTTAAGTTTTGTTGTTACATGTACTGCTACATGATTTTGTTTATTCAGAAATATATTGCATTTCCCTTGTTGATATATAGTTGGAATTAACCTGGGTACTTCACCAAAATTTACTTGTTACTTATATACACTTGTTTTAATATATCTGTATTATAGATGTTGCATGGTAGTTGTTTTGGTATAAACATGTTTATTCTTGTAAGAAGATTGTAAACTATTTATTTCCTATAGTTTTTTGTTTACACAATGAGAGCTATTGTATATAATAGCAGAGCTATATCTCATTAATATGAATATGCAATGACACTGACATTTAGCCATTAATAGCTGCAACTGAATTTTTATAAAAAGGCAAAATTTCCTTAACTGGATCTTTTAATGAAAATGTAATTAGTTGCAATATAATGAAACATTGTTAATTTTTTCTTTTTATTGACTTGAAATTACATTATATTTGATTGCTTTTCTTTATAAAAGGTTATTCTTACTGTAATTAGAAGTGGTTTTGATCAATTGTAGTCTCTAATAGACCTAAATCAAATTTCACAATGGTCTGTTGCCAGATGTGATAGCAAGGATTCTGATTGTGAACCCTCTCGAGTTTAAAATGGATACTTCCGAATTTCAAAATAAGACTAGTCAAATTTATGAAATTGGGGAGTAAAATAAGTCACCTTGGTAATGATAGTACAATGGACTGTTCCAAAGTCCAAAGCAGGACAGGTTCATTATACAGATTTAGGGAGGTAATTCTTCAGGGATTCAGTGTTACTGTATAGTGACTAATAATGAGCTTTCAACCACTGCACTCATTATGTTGGCATGACCCTGAAAATGATTAGATTAAGTTGTTAATAGTCTGTTAACTTTTAGATGTTCTATTGTATATATGAAAAGAAAACTAGAGATATAATCAGTATTTTAGCTAAACTACCTAAACAGAAATATTAAACTGTTAGAATATATACATGTATATTTTTATGATTTTATAAGTTGTTTTTTTAAATTCAAATTTTTATTCACATAATGTATTTTAATAGGAAGAAAACACAAGAAGTGAAACAGGGATGGAAATAAGAAGACTTTGGCTGGATACAACACACAAATAATGTAATACTAAAAGATGGTGTTTATATTCATGAAATATATTCTTGTACTTTTAGTCAATTCTTTTTTAAAACACAAGTAGCTGTATAGAAATATTTTTTTGTGTTTTAATGGTGATTAAGTCACATGGATGTAATTGTTTACCATGGTACAGAAGTGTTCATATTTTTTATGCAATACATAGATCTTTTTTCAATGTTTTGATTTCTTTTTTTTCAATATGCTAAATATTAATTACGACATCTCTCATCAAAATGAAATACCTGTTAGTTATTTGTTTTTGACTGTGAATATACATGGTTTGAAACCCATGGGTAAGGAGTTATATTAAAAAGGAGATATCTTGTATACATTGTATAATAATGTGGGATAACGAATTGTCATCCAAGTAACCCACAAATAGGTATAGATTGACTAGAAAAATTTGAGGTCATACAGACACTTGATATACATGTAACTAACAATGTTTTTAGTATGTCACTATTATATTCCTTATAACTTATAAAAAATAGCACTTTTATTCTGAAATTCATATATGATATGATTATTTTTCTCCCTTTTAACTATTTCTTTTTTTAATCTTTTTTTACATGTATATGTATAATGTAGTTCTGAATTTCTGTTGTTTATTGATTTGTTGCCAAGCGATGTTTTAGATATATACATAATTTTACCTCTGTTTTTTGCCAGTTATTTATGTAAAAAATCATTTTCTATGTTTGTTATACTGACCATGATAAATTTCTCTTTATGAACCATCTTAGTTTTTTGTTTCTAAATCTTGACATATGATGAATTAAAATAGTGGTCTTTATTGAATAAATATTGTGTATTACCTCTACTAAGGTTCATCAATTTTCGCAGGTTATTTTATCATAATGCAAGCTATGCAAAACTTGTTACAGTGGGTTTGACTTCATTAGGGTCAATAGGGAGACTTAGATCTGTTGCATGCTGAAATAATCCAGCTAGTTTAAGAAAGGTTGATGGTTATACCCTCTAGTCCTCTCTTGCCAGATATAATGCATGGTGGTCGAACAATTGTTGCCTCCATGTATTATGTAATTTAATGCTTTATGACCTCAAAAGTGTCACTAAAACAAGGTAGTTATAAAAATTGATTGACTATTTTATTGTATGTAATTGATATCATATGATATAATGTTCAATCACATTAAGATTGTTTCCTATCTAATACTCCAAATACTGTACTGCTTCACTTTTAAGGAATTCCACTGAGGTCCAAAACATAGAAAAAAATCATAATTCAATTTCTTATATAGATCAAATAGGGCATTTAATACAGAAAGATAATTATGCAAAAGATAGTTTTTAAGAACTAAAGCAGAACTAAATTGAAAACATGTTTGTGTTATTCTTAGCCTGATGTGAGTGAAAAGCATTGCAACACTTTTTCCTTTTTTGAATAATTTTTCAAAATTATAATTATTCTGGAAAATAGTGAGTGAATGATCTGAAATTTAGCACACAAGTTATTGGTCTAGACCTACATCAAATATATAATAAGTCTCGAAAAATTATTTTCAGTCCTGTCATGTCAAAAAACAATCTCAGTGTAGTCCCTTTAACACAATGTAGCTGATGTTTTCATCTAGTCATTTTTGTATAATTTTATGAGTTGCCTATTAGTATATAGAGCTTGGCAAGATTGTATATATCAGTACGGTAAGACCTGGCTGACTATACACTGGTAGCATGGGCTAATCATTTTTGATTCCAGAATTGATTTAAGGGTTAAATTTTAAACACACACCTTGAAATATTTTTAATTTTGAGAATGATTTTGACAAATGTAGTGTTAGTAGAATAGATTATTTGTGAGCTGTTTTGATTTGTACAAATATAGAATAAAAATCTCTATAAAAAGAGCGAGAACATGTATCAATTTTGAGAACATATTTTAGTTATGTTTATGCATTTAAAAAAAAATTGTATTATAATTTTGACATGTTGAGACGCATTTATATATGTTTATAATGAACAGTTATGTGTGGAATATGAAATAGTGTATTCATATAAAACATCACAATATTATAATTATATGTGAAATAATGACTGTGTGATTTAACCATCATTTATTTAAAGGCACATTATGCCTCAGAAATTCATATTTTTGTAAATTCTTTAGAAATGTCAAACATTTATTTTATTTTGTTTAAATGACGAATTAAGAACATTTAAGATGTTGTACAACTGAAAAAAGTATTGCTTAACTTACAGTAATGTGTCTTAACTGTTGCCTAATGTAAACAAAGTAGTATTTTGACTTCCATACAAAATACCAATTCGCTTTGATTATACCAAACTAAAGATGCAAAAGATAATTCATGTATATAGCAAATGTGTATGTTTTTTGGAAACTGTAACAATATACAAAAAAATAAACAATTTTTTGAAACTAGAAATGATAGGATTTCTGAGGCATAATGGGCCTTTAATATAGCATGAAATGTATAAACTTTTAACATCATCCATTTGCTCTCCGGGGTTTAACTAACTGAAACAGTTGTATAACTCATATGCAATAAATAAAACAATTTCACTTACCTCATAATCTGATATTGTTAAGAAATAAAATAAAAAAAGAAGAGAACAATAATATGATGCTTGTATCATTTAGACAATGTAGTGATGTTATTATACAGTTATTTCATGGGTATTTGTGGAACAGTCAAAACTGTTGCTGCAGGTATTAGGGGTGACATTTAGAACTATTGCCAATGGTCGTAGACTGATGACAACAGTTCCAAATGTCATCCTGATACTGAGGGACAACAGTTCTGACTGTTCCACAACACCCATGAAATAACTGTTTTATTACCTAATGCTTAATAAACTAAACTGTTAATTCGTTTTCTATGTAACCTGATGCTGCTAACATAATGTTATTATTTAAATAACACATTCTTTTGTAACAGTAAAAATATCATCTTGAGGAAAATGCTGTTATCCAATGTGTTATCCAACGGTTATAGTATTTTTATGAGGGGTCATATTTTTGCTGTTACTCACAGACCTATGTTATTTATTTTATTACCTTGAAGAAATATTTTATTTGGACACTGTCTCAGATTTTTACTATGAAAAAAAATGGTTACCTATGTACCAGTACAAATTTTTTAGCCACACGGTACACTTGCATTAACTGTAAGAATAATTGGCCTACATTACAAAAATATTGAGGAATAATGTTATCATATGTTGAGCATAAAACAAAATGTCGAAAACATCATCGTAATATGTTACAGTTAATGTATATTAATTTTACTACCATTTATTTATAAAGAACTGAGCATCATATATCACACTTTAACCATTATGTGTGATACTTTAATCTTAAAACAGGGTAATACAATGTATAATAATTTGTTAATTAATAAAAAAAATATCTATGAGTCGTCAAGCGCAATACCAGCATTTGTTTAACATAGAGCAAGATAGATGAAATCTTTATAATTAGCTATAACTTGTAAAAACAAACTGCTACTAGTATATGTTTAACTTTTACCATTATTTGTAATGTATGTTTATTTACTTTAAAGTATAAAATTGTTCACTGTATATTTAACATTATGTTGGGTACATGAAAGTGGCAAAACCATAACCTATAACATCACAGATTTTTATCATAATAATGGCATAAAACATGCTCCACTGTTATCCTTATCAAGATGTGGCTTCATATGGGATGTAACATGTTGCTCCATATGTGATGTAACATGCTTGCTGTTGCCCATATATGTGCTCCATATGTGAACATAGGCCATCATATGTGATGTAACATACAATCATGTGACATTTAACATGGCTTCATATGTGATGTAACATGTGGCTTCATTTGAGATTTAACAGATAACATGTAGCTTCATATATGTGGTATAACATGTGCCTGCATATGTGGTATAACATGTGCCTGCATATGTGATTTAACATGTGCCTGCATATGTGGTGTAACATGTGACTTCATATGTGAGATAGTACACAATTATGTGATGGATAATGTGTCTTCATTTGAGATGTAACATATGCCATCATATGTGTTGTAACATATGCCATCATGTGTTGTAACATGTGTCATATGTGATGTAACATGTGTTATCAAATGTGTTGTAACACATCCCTTTATATGTGATGTTACATATGCCATCATATGTACCATGATATATGATGTTACTTTATACATGTTTGAAAGATTAAAATTACATTGTATGTAA